GAGGGCGAGAAGCGGGCGCTGCCCTTTGGTCCAAAGTGGGCTCTGGAGACAGTTTGGAGGATCTCTTGAGCGGGAAGGCGCCTACTTCTACTTCCATTTTCTATTTCTTGCGTGCTCTCCCTCCCAGCCTGTCCTGTCTCTGTCTCTGTCTCTGTCTCTGTCTCTGTCTCTGTCTCTGTCTCTCTCTCTCTCTCTCTCTCTCTCTCTCTCTCTCTCTCTCTCTCGTTCGCACTTGGCTGCCGTACAGAGTCCCTGCGAGGCCGTTCCAGGCAAGTCGAGGTTGACTGGCTACGCCGCAACTACCACGGGCACCGGCATGGACTTCGACGAAGAGGCATGTGCATTGTTGAGTTAGTCAGTGTTTCTCTATGCGGACAACCTGCATTAGATGTATGTCTTGCGAGGCAAGGAAGCTATGGGCGCGTTTAAATCTGGATCCTTCGATCATATCGAATGGGCCGTACAATGCCATGGACGCCTTGTGGCAACATCCCGAAACACGAGCTGTCTTCTATGTGGGCAACCAGACGGCTGCCTCAAACCTGTCCTTGCTACAGAAGAACGGAGTGACACATGTTGTGAACTGTACGGACAATATGCCCAACTACCACGAGAACACTCCCGGCAGCCCTATCACATATTTCAGATTTGACATTTCTGGCTTCCACCGGCTGGTCAAAACTGACGCTGACGCAGCGCGATTCGTTCAGCCGATGCTGGATTGGGTTGGTGCCGAACTTGAATTGTTTCCTAAGCTGTCCCGTCGTTTCTGCAAGCCTCGAAGTCCTTCGAAGGGGCTGAACTGCAGGTGCAGCCCTGGCCAGTGGAAAGAATGTGATGGTCCACTGTTTGGCCGGCGCTCATCGGGCAGGAACTACAGGTGGTTCGTCTCTGAAGAGCACTGTGTGGGCCTTTAGTATTTTTGCGGGCTGAGTTGGAGTTCAAACCAAGCACATCCAAGCTTTAAGCTTGTGCTGTGTCGAGACCCCATCAGTTGCAACAAAAGCCAGGCTGCATCTGCTTGATGCACTTCGCAGGGCTCAGCGCCAAAGAAGCAGTTCCGGCTGCAGCTTCGCAATGTTTATGATGGCAACATCGCCTGTTAAATCCATATGTTCCGTAATGCTGAAAGGCGCAGCATCTGAGGCAAAGCGCTGTCGTCCGATAATTGACCCCATTGGTGACTTTCCGGTCGCTTGGTTGATTTTCTGTTGGGTTGTCATTGACAGCTTTTCCTGCATGAAATCCGAGGAGCTGCTGGCCAAGCTGGAACGCAAGTGGAGAAAGGCTCAGTCTCCAGCAGGTTTCGGTGCCTAAAGGCTTCTTAGTTTTAGCCAGTTTTCGCAGGCCGTGAACGGGCACACTGCATGCTCTGGACGTCACATGACGTTTCCAAGCTGAGAAAGGCTGCTGTGTGCTGTCTGTACAGAGAGATTGACATCACCTGCTCGTAGTAAGGAGCTTGAAGGCTAGGCCAAAGTGCTGCACCACCATAGCCACCAGCTTGCCTCGTAAGACCTCTGCTGAACTGGTTCACCGTGCATGGCAAAAAGTTGGCTGTTGCTACGCAGCGGTGGTCACCAGTGCGTGTGACCCTCCGGCACCTGACACATCGCGTTCCCGGCCCAGGCTTGGCATGACAAACAAGGCCAAGAAACCTGCTGGGAACACGGGGCCCGTGACAACGCTGAACAGCAGCTCCCAGCAGTGCAGGCAACAGCCCAAGGTGTCCAGAGTGCGCCGTGTTGCTTTGAAAAAAGAATCTCTCGTCTCGCATTTGTCCGCATGTGCCAAGGCCGAGCAAGCGTCATGCTGGCATGAAGAGATGGCAGGCAGACGCTGACAGCACCAAAGAAGTACAGTGAGTACAGTCGCATCGTCCTTCCTGCCAACTGGCAAGTGGCTTTCTGCACCTTGCATCCACCGCGGGATAGTGTTATCCGCCCTAGTCGCCATGCTCTCAAGTTGATCTCCAGGGTGTCCAGCGAACGGACGAAGAAGCCAAAGAGATTGTGGAGAAGGCACTCGCCACTACCGCCACTGGCATCACCTTAGCATCGGTATTGGGGAGTGGTACTTGATGTACTTGAAGCTCTTGTGCAGGCTTTGGGCTCCTGCGCTGTGGGTGTGGGCCCAAAGCCTGGTCAGATCGCAGAAGGGACTTCCTAGCGACAGTTCTGTGCAGGCCAGACATCAGCTCCGATTCGGATAGAGCCATGTGCCACTCGCGGAAAGAGGAACCGGAGCCCCTCACCCGTGGTCGTCCATGGCTGAATGGCTGAGTGCAGAGCTCTTGGACTCAGATCTCCAAGCCTGGGCTGTGAGGCTCCGAGCAGCCCTTCGGAGGAGCCTGAAGGTGGCGGCTCCATCTGACCATCTGAGGATTTCACTTTCTTTTCGATTGGCTAGGGTTCCTTGGGTTTTGCAGATCCTTGTCGCAAAGATTTTTCGGGACACCTTCTAGCCCGTCAAGTCACCCCCTCTGCTCAGATGACAAGTTTGAAGCCGCTTGGATGGACTCGGGCGACGAGCGAGAAGCGGCCAAACTCAACGAGAAGCCCTCAGGACAGATAAAGATCCAGATTGTTATTATTGTATGCATGACCGCATAACGCACAGGTCATGCCTGCTGTACTTGTTGGACGAATCGAAGTTCCCTATCTCTCCCTGCAAGTGACTAAGCCTCGGAGGAGGAGACGTCGTGGTCGACTTCTTCTGAAGCTGAAGTCTTGCATACTGCAAGCACACCGCAAGGAAGTGTTCTACAGATCAGGTTTGCAGGTGAACCGGACCTGCTGCCGAGCTGGGTCGGCCCCGACCCCAATGTTTGCTTGGCCGTCATTCGTGTGCAAAGACGTCCCTCTGCACGTGGGACCTCATCAGAGTGACAGACATTTGGAACATTTCCACTCGCTCTTAGCTGCTTGAATTGGTTTCCATGTCTGCTTGAATAGTCAGCCGTCACTCCTCAAGGTCTGAATCAAGTCCAGGAGCACTGACCGCACTTTTGTCATCTGCAAGTTTTGTTGCGGAAAACCGGCCTCTCCATTTTGGAAACAGTGTGTTGCAACTGGAGAACCAGAAGAGCGGGCGATGTCCGCGACTCCGCCGCTGCCACCTGCATTCGGTCCACCAGTGCGGTCGGGCCTGGGCAGCTTCAGTCGCCAGATGCACTTGGCACTGTCGGAATCATGTACCTCTGCTCTCTGTCAGTTTCTTCTCAGTGGGAAGATCTGAGGCACGGACTCATGCTCAACAAAAGTTACGGAAGCAACCACCAAGCTGTTCGAGCACGGTTCCTGGCACTTCGCGTGGGAGACGCCTTTCTCAGAAGGTAACCAGACTGTTCTCCTTTGTCCTCCGATCTGTTCGTCAGTTGTTTGGCGCGCGCCTCATTGACGGACACCGACGAAACGCCCATGCCTCAGTTGTGGCATGGTGTGGTAGTGACATGTGGTGACAGAGTCCCCTTCGGAGCTGGCCAGGAGTTCGCTCATCAGCCGCTGCGGTTGCTACAACTCTTTGAAGGCATCGACGGAGGATTGCGAGCCACCTGGCAGAAGAGGACCTTGGGACTCCTTCCGGGTATTTGCCTTTGAGGGGTTCGCATGGGCCGAGGGATGTTCTGCGGGTCAACAAGGGCGCGGTGCTTCGAGACTTCTTCGAAGCTCAGGCAGTGGGGTTCAAGTAGAATCATGAATCCACTGCAGGATTGCAGGTTTCTCCCTGTTCCCTGCATTGTTTTGCTTGACCAGGCAGATGAAAAGACAATGGCCTACTGCAAACAGTTGTGGTCTGCATGGGATTTTCGCGACCAAGTTCACTGGTGGGAGTCGCGGTTGCAGATGGGAAAGACTCTGACATGGGATGACTGCGATTGGAAGCCATCAGGAGTCTTCAGAACTTCGCTTGTGCGGGGTGCTCAGCTGCACCATGTTGCAGCTCCACCCGGTTTTCGCAACCGATGCTCCGATCCATCAGGCATCTTTCTGGTCGTCGTTGTGTTGCTCGTCGCTGCTTGGCCGAAAAGCTGCATGTGACAGGCCAGGTGAAGTGCAATTGCCGAGCCGTTTTCGACCCAAGACCTGTCTTTGGATTTACCGCGATGTGGCTTGGAGAAACCTTAGTGTGCGTGGTTCGAGCGCAACGACAGATCGGAAGAACCTCGAGTGTGCATGCCAGAGGTGGTGCACGATATCGTCATTGATCGTGAAGAAGCTGTAGAAGATGCCGTGCAGGCATGTAGGCTGTTTGTCTGCTGGGTGGTGCAGAGTAAGTGACCCGGGCGGTCGAAAAAATTATCACCCCTGCCAGGATGTAAAGGTTGCGCTCCACGATGTGGGCGATCGTTGCAGGATCCGACTGGCCTTTTTTCCGGATGCTGTGGCCAGGCACGTGGCTTGATCTCTCTGCCAGGAAATTAACTGAGGAGGAGCTTCCTCTGCCGCTGTTGGGTCTTGGTCACGATGCTGCTCGGCAGAGTCGGGCCTTTGCTAGCACCATGTCGCCGTTCTTAGCCGTTGGCTTTTTGGACTCCCGTGCATTGCATCCGAGGAGGCGAAAAGTAAGCAGAATCGCGAGGTTGACCCTGACGATGAGACTGGCTTTTGCTAGCCTCCTTCTTTGTTAATGACTGCCATTGGAGTGGCCTTTGTACAGGGCAAGCCGACAAGCAGAGTTGTCGAGTTTTGTCAGCATCTCCATGACATCACTGGCCATGCTCAGTGGTAGACGAAATGTCGCCTATCCTCTTGCCGCATGATGTGATAGGAAGGCCACAGCAACTACACGTGGGAGGAACTCGGGCGTTGCTGCTTTGTCCTTTGCTCCCAAAGGCCATGTGTTCCTGGATGGCAACATGCATGATTCGTGCAACGACACCGTCCGTTGTAACTGCATGAGTTCTACTTTAACCTGACTGCGGCGCAGAGAGAAGAAGCCATGGGGTCCGATGACAGCGAGAGCGAGGAGCAAGAGGAGCGAGACTCGCAGACTCGGACATGCAAGAAGTGACACAGCAGATATCAACCTCAGAAGATGACAAAAGTGTTTTGCCAGGCGGTAAAGCCTTTGAATCAGTCAGCAGTCAGCAAGCAGCAAGATGGTGTCGTCTTGTGCAGTGCTCGCCAGCATTCCCACAGGAGCGAAAAGAACGACGTGGCGAAAAGCGAGATCGTGAGGAGCGCCACGAGAAGGCCACGGGGGCCAGTCCAAGCTTTTCTCGGAATGGTCGGAATGGCCAACACCGGCAAGCCGTGGTTTCAAACAGGGTTTTAGACGCAGATGTGTGCCACTTTGATGTTGAACTGAAGCGATGCCATTGACAAATCGCCGACAGAGGAGGACCGCGATCGAGATCGCGATCGCGACCGGGACCGGGACCGAGATCGTGATCGCGAGAAAGGCAAATGTAGTACCATAGTTCCATAGTTGTTGTGAGTCTTCGTAGGAGGCAAACTTGCCCCAGATGCAGCGCCTGTGACTGCCAGGCCAGGCAGCCGGGGCTTTGAGGAACTTCACGGGTGCCATGGCAGCCTCCGTGGCATCGGCGGCTCGCACGGAGCGCACTGGAGAGCGAGCGGCACCTTATGGCGAGGCCCCTGCTAAAGGCCACCAACTTGAGCATGTAGGCATGTAGTCGAAAGTTGACTTCACTGTCGCACATGAGCTGCGCATTCACATGGAGGCCGTGGCAAACAGGCGATCCTTCCACCTCCGCGAAAGACGTTGGATCGCTCGCGCACATGTCCTTTCCTGCCAGACTCTCTGGCCAGACCTATGTACGGCGGCACAACTCAGAGTCTTTCACTACCTTGTCAACTCAAGCTGCCGAGGCTTCGGATCTTTCGGAAAATAGGCCAGATCTCATTTTGCCTTTGCTTGAATTCTGCTGTGGGCAACAAGATTTAAGACTGGCATCAAGGGGTGTTGCAGGGCACGTAGGGACCCCGCCAGGCGAGCATCACGGCATTCAGGCTGGGCTGCATTTCCATGTCCGAGGGGTTTCTGCTTGTGATTAGTACACCAGGCCAGGAAGTACAGGTTGCTTGCGCGAGAGCCGTGGGCAGGCGTTTACAGAGCGTGGCAAGGAGCCGGTCCATGACGAGCTGCAGGCCCTGCCTGCTGCTGCTGCGGTTCTGTCCGAGTGGTTCTAGCAGGAGAGAGAGTATACAGACACACGGCTTTGAAATTGATGGCAGGTGTATGCCTGGCCAGACGTCACACTTCGAGAGTGTCTTGGCTGATGGCTTGAGAGCCTGAACGGCCCCAGATTGAGGGTTTTTGTTAGGGCTGCATAGGTCTCGGGAACAGATACACCCGATCAGAACCGCGGATTTTGGGGTTGGTTCCAGGTTAGCGGACCTGATCAAGGACGTGGCGCCAGAGGCCCGGGACCCCAAGGTGAGGCTGGCCTTCAACCTGATCTACCCTGCCGGAGCCTAAGCATTCCAAACTCGAGACAGAAGTTGTACCAAGACGCTGCGTCGTCCGGGAGTCCAGTGCAGTGGAGCTGTGAAGAGCGAACAGCAAAGCTTTGCCCGAAGCTGGAACAGTTCAACTAAGCAGATTCAAGAACAGCACGGTTGGCCTCTGAGCCGAAGAAACGACGCCATGCAAAGGACAAGACTGGAAAGAACGTCAGCACCAACCTGGGCACGGTCACCTGTGCGCGACGCGGTCCCGATGATGACAAGGCCCGGCCTTTGCTTCCTTTGCGCTTTTGGGCTGTAGCTCGACCTTTGGGGAGCTCAGTTTTGTGGGGAACCGCGAAACACGCTTATGCTCTCTTTGGTGTTCCTTGCTACGAGCGGTCGGGGTTGGCTAGAAAGTAGACCCTGAGCGCATTTTGCGGACTAGTGACTAAAAAGAAGCAGCAACATCCTTGTGTTGAAGGTGTAGGCAGGCACCCAGGATGTGCTCAAAGAGGAAGAAACAGCTCGCCTGGAATCTTTGCTATGACATCACCCGCGAATATGCCGCGATAGCATGGCGAAACCTGGTGCTCCGTGAAACGGGGTTTTGCCATGGTCACTTTCGAGAGGTCAGTTGTTTTCTGAACCCCGCATGCCGTTTTACGGAGCAATCTGGTCGGCAGCAACAAAGGTGGACAGGCCATTCTACAGAGGATTTGTTGCTCCTCGTAAGATATTATATATATATATGTATTCTTTTGTTATATATATATACATCTTATGTATATGTATATATATCTATATACATACATGTTATGTTAAAAAGAGATCAGGCGAGATGCTCAACGGCAGTAGTGGTGGTAGTAGCAGTGGTAGTAGCAGCAGCAGTAGCAGCAGTAGGGCAGCAGTGGCAGTGGCAGTAGCATTAGCATTAGGATTTGCATTTGCATTATCTGCAGCAGTAGTAGTAGTAGTAGTAGTAGTAGTAGTAGTAGTAGTAGTAGTAGTAGTAGTAGTAGTAGTAATAGTCGTGGTGGTAGCAGTAGTAGTAGTAGTAGCAGCAGCAGCAGTAGTCGTCAAATGTTGGGGCTTGAATCGCGTCATCTTCTACCAGCCCAAGGACGGTCGTGTCCAACGCAAGCTTCGCATTGAGCAGAACAAAGGCGACTCATGGACAGACCAGCAGTGGTCTGATGACAATTGGTGGCAGCGCCGCTCTGGTTCGGGCTCCAGCAGCAGCCGTCAGTGGCGCCAGTGAGTTGCACTTTTCTTTCACGGTGCCAATGGCTGCTAGCACAGTTGACTGCGGACTGCTGTGGCGCTGCCAACCAATTGGCGTGCCCTCTTCCTGCCTAGACCAGGACTGCTGGCTTTCTTGCACATCTGCCGACGCCACACTGTCTTGCAAAAAGTGTGCTTTCGCTTTTGCTACATGCCTCAGCCGCAACAGCACTCGTATGCGCTCGTTATTTGCTCTGAGGTGGTGGCATCTCCAGGTACAAGGCTGTTCACTGCACTTACCCGGAGCTGACTGTGGTTCAGCATGCAGAGCACTGGGTCCAATGCGGCCCGTGCGGCAAGGAGTGAATCAGTCCCAAGCTAGCCGCTGTGTTCACATTTTTTTGTCAGACTCACAGGGTCACAGGGTCAGTTTCACACCGACGTGACTGCATATGCGGCAATCGCCCACAATGTGCTGAGCCCGCTCGCACAGCGTCCAATTGAATAGAAGTAGTAGCAGTAGTAGTGATAATAATAGTAGGGCTTTACGGCTCCAGGGGTTAATAAGTCAAAGGGTTTAAGGCTTAATTAAGGCTTCCAGGGTTTAGGGCTTCGGGAGTATGATGTTCGAGGGGTTTAGGGTTTAACGCATGTGAGAGCTTCAGGGGTACGGTTTGGGCCCCCAGGGGGTTAGGGGTCCACCGCCTTCGCGAACAGACTTGGACACGCCATTTTATAGAGGATGGTCTGGTTGCCAGCCCGTCTCTGTATCAGGATCTTGTACCCTGGCCCTAGCATGTCATTTTTTAGCGGGTTTCCGCTCTCCAGTCAGTCGGCCACTCCATTTCAGAGACCAGTTCCTCTGTGAAATGCTCTGGGTTCCCCACGAACGGTGTGAATGGAATTGCTGGACGCGCCGTCCCCCCAATTCGAAGCTTTCCTGAGTCTCGAAATCGCTTCGGTGAGCCCGTATTTGGTTTGCCGCTTGGTAGGCCTCTCAGTTTGATCGAGTCCAGCTAGGCTCAGCAAAGCAGAATTTCTTTGGATTGTAGTTGGGCCACAGCTTCGACCCTTTCACTGGTAAGCTTTGGAGACGGGCATCATACAACGTCCGAAGCGACACGTAGCGTGTTGCCGAACTACCTGATCAGAGTGCTTGCTGTCCAGGCGCTGTCGTCGTCGAAGTTCCAAACAGGCTACGGAGCAGCTGACAAGCAGATGTGTGCAATTGCACAACTCGCTTTATGTGCTGCAGGTGATCTGTTGGACCTGGCCATTCTTAAGTGACCTGCTCAGTGATCGGGTCGAGGACCGGCGCAGGAGCAGAAGCTCAACAGCACGGCAACATGACCTGGGTTTGAAGCGTTCACGCGTCCTACATTGTTACATGTCATTGATTCTGGCGTGTCTTGGATCGGATTTTGCTCGGCAGACTTGCGGTCCTCGGCAGAGACGGGAAGCCTGGCGGCTGACCCCATCATATACTGGTAGTGCCAAGCCTGGATATGCAGAGCACACCGTTGGACGGCAAGGTGTCCCACACCAGTGACGTACGAGCTGGGACAACCACCATCCTAGCTGTCACTTCATTAACGGCGTCTTGAAAAGGTATTCACCGCTTTAGCCGCATGCAGCCACCCTTTACGGAGGCTTCAGTCTTAATCTGCATCTTTGGCGACATTTGAGCCTTGAGCCGCCAGCCTTCGTGCCAAACCTGGTTCGGCGGTTTTGCTCCGCTTTGGTGCGTCGGCTCGAGCTGGATACCCGCCCAACAGCGGGGATGTTTGGCTTGGGCCTGAGAGAAGCAGTCTTTCGTTTGAGTTTCGTCTTGACATCGACACTGAGAGTTTTGAAGACACATCGTGAGGAAAATCCACCTTCATGCTACGGCCGGCATGAGGTAGAGGCACTCCTCCGCAAAACGGCTTTAGAGAACATGTGAGCACGGGGGATTGCCTCTCGAAGATTGAAAACCAGTGCCATACTTCTGTCTGAAGAGGGCCGGCATTGGGCCACGGCTGGGCCACCGGCCACGGTTGTGGCCACGCTGGTCCGACACTCGTGAGCCGCTCGTGCATGCGTGCCCAGGGCTTAGGCGCCATGCCCCGTGCATTGCTGCAGGCCATTGAGGGTCATGTTGCCACCTGTGTGTCGCATGTAGTTTCCGAACTCAGATCGATTGGCGATTGCTGGCCGCTCTCTGCGTCGCAGGTCCTCTTCTTTGGCTCTTCGCACGGTGCACGCCAGCACTGCCTGTTCTTGAGGTGCTGTACGGCCGAGCAGCGAGACTTCGCACGCGGCGGGCAGTAAGTGGCTCAGACAAAGCCTAAGCCATCCTCAAGCCCTACAGCCCCCGAGCGGCCAAACCGGCAGAGTTCTGGCCTTAAGCGCTTGGCCTCTTCCGAGGTGTGAGCCTCGCGAGCTCTGAGACTCCTGCCGTGCCCGGCGTGAACGGGTCTCGGAAGGGTTGAAGTGGGCGCTGAGGGGCGCTGAGAGCACAGGCCGGCGGCGCCCATAGGGCCGCAAGCGGGCCAATGGCAGGAAAGGAGGAAAGAGCTCAAGTCGGTGGCCGCTCTTTCGCAGAGAGATACCGTCATGGACCTGCAAAGATGTGGAGGCTGGCAGGCTGCTTCAGCGGTTTAGCCTTCTCTTGGCCAGGCCCGCTTCTGGGCAGTGCTTGCTGCACTTGCAGCTGGAGGCCTGGCCCCTGGCCACAGAGCATGTCGGTACTGAGTTACTGTGTATGCAGAAGTACTTCATCCATCGCGAGGCTATGGGGTCTTCTTCCTGCTGAAGAGGGATGAGCGCTCCATGGACGTGAGCAAGCTCTTGAAGATGGCCGGAAGCTTACCCAACATGTCCAACGGGTGGAGGTGTGTGTGATGCTCTCCCCTTTCGGAAGCCACCGAGCTTCGCGTACTCGAGGTTGCCCTGAAGCTCTACAAGGCCCGAGCTACCGACCCTGATGCTTGGCAGTTCCGGCAACAGTTCCCAGCCGCCCTGCCAGGACAAGGTCTTCACACAGATGTGACTTGGCGGAAGCATTAGTCGTTGACACCGGGCCGCCGTCTCGTTGCTCCACACTTAGGTCCTGGACTGCTTGCCTGTTGCTCGCCGGCACATGGCAGAGACGCGAAAGTAAGCATCAAATCGCCGGTGTCGGTCGTTCTCGCCCTGCAAAGCGCCGGTTCAGGTTTGGCCTCGCCGATCTACTCGCACAGCGCGTGCCATCCTACCACGAGAAGTCCAATCTGCAAGCGCCGCGGTTGCAGATGGCGGCCGCCGCTGCCGTGGCTTTTTTCACCAAATTGAAACAGGACGGTTACAAGATCGGTGGCTGGGACTGGCGGTACACGCTCGCCATCGTGTCCACGGCATGCCTCTTCCAGGCCAATCAGCCCACAGCGAGCCCCTCCTTTCATACGCCAGCTACCACAACAGCCCGGTTTTGGAGGTAGCAATCCTCGGCCGCTTCTACGAGTACTGCACCCCGGCCCTGACTGCTCCACTCGTCCACTCGGCTCTGCTTCCCGGCTTTTCTCTTCAGGTGATCTGCGCTTCGGGAATGCCACGACTTGGCAAGCTGTGACTCGACCTCTATAGGGCTCGCCGGGCTCGTGAAGCCACCGCCAAAAGAGCCTTGCGCTGAGGCCTTGCTGAAGGCTCTGAAGATGCAGGCAGCCTTCAGCTTCGGATACTTGCCCCTCGGGGTTCTCCTTTATGTGTCTGGGCGGCAGCGTGTGTGAAGCATCCAATTGCTTGGCAGCTTTGCGCTTGTCGCGCCATGCGTTCCCCCTTTCTGAGGCCTTGTCCATCTGTTTCGTGTTTCGGAGCTTTGCGGACTCGACTGACAACTGCGGCCCCTTGACCGGGGAAGGCCACACTACACGCATGACTGTGGGAAGAGGCCATCTTTTTTTTTTCTCTCTCTCTCTCTCTCTTGCATTCTCTTGCCTCTTTGCGAATTGAGGTCCGTCCGCCGTGGCCGGGCTTCCTTGGAACCTGGGGAGCGAGCACTGCAGACCGCAACAGCAAGATGTGGGTTTCCGTGTAGGAGATCACTGGCAGTCACCGGCCGCAGGAGCAGCATCGGTCAGGCCGTGGAGTTGTGGCCAGGACGATCCTGCAACAGAGACGGAGTCTTCGAGATGCCTCTCCATGTTTTGTGCGGCCGCGGCAACAAGGAGACTATCTGCACTCCGCGGTGTTCTGGCCACCAAGCCAGGCAGTGAACTACGCCCTAGACTAAGCGTGTGTGCTCGGCCGACAAGTCCTGCATCGTTGCTGCCACGGGTAAGGTGCTGATTCATCGCTGGTCCCCAAACTTTCGTCCGATCTTTGACGGTGTGATTGTGCCCCTCCATCATTTTGCCAGCGATCGACGGTGCTCTTGCTTCCGTTCCGTTCCATACTCTGGTGAGTGGAAGGTGCTGTTCTGGAACTTCTTCGTTCTGGCGGGTGGGGCGGAGAGAGAGGCGCCTCGGGAGAAGCGAAGATGCCGCCGTGACCCTCAGCCAAAAAGCAGAGGCCGTCGGCCCAACGCTCTTCGGCCCTGCACCGGGGCCCACGGACAAGGCACCGGCTCTGGGACCCCAAGCCTACTGAGCCTACTGACTGCTCTAAGAGCTCCGTTGCCAGGTGCCTCCTTCGGTCGACTGCTCCAAGCACTCCTTCGGCGAGATGGGGCGATGGTGCGCCGAGAGAGAGAATTACTGGTAGCGGCACTTGCCAAAAGCACACGGCTCCTGATTGAGTCCTGCCAGGCTTGGTCAGAAACTCGGTGCATGCCTCAGCTAGTGAAACGGTAAGGTGACCCCTTTCAGCAGTCACCTGAGCTCAGGTGAGTTGGCCGCTGCTTGTCTTGATAATCACGGACCCGGCAATGCCTGCAAGTGGCATCTTGAGGTGTAGTCCGCCGAGCCTGCAATTGCTTGCCGGTGATGTTAGATATAAAGCATGCCGTTGCCAATGTGCACCGCTTGCCAATCGAGTTCGCCTGACATCTGAGGAAGCAACCAAGCAAGGCCGGGCGACTCTTTGGCTTTGCCAGGTTGAGGTGTGCGCCTTCTGACGATAGGCCTGATCCGCTGCTGGGAGAACATCAGCAAGAAGCCTAGGTTCTCCAAGAACATCTGCGATCCAAAACTTACTTTTGTAGTTAGTTTGATAGTCAGAGAGCTACTCATAGCAGCAAGTTTCTGAGGTTGGGCCCTTCAAAATGGCTGGAAATGGCCACTGATGCTGCATCGAGTGTAGCAGAATCAATCTTGCAGCTGGGTGCAGATCCAACACACCAATCCAGGTTCAAGCATGGCTTCAACTGTACCCGACAACGGCTGCGCCTTGACTGTCAGCAGAAAGAAATGGGGTGGAAAGCAACGGCTCTGAACGAGTAGCTCTACAGAAGATAAAGCTGCTGCTACTCCCACCACTCCCACTGCCACGGCCGCAGCTACTGCTTCTACTGCTGCTACTGTTGCTGCCTCTGATTTCAGTTCTGCTGCTCCCACCTCGGTGCCAGATCTCGGGTGGAAGGAAGTTTACTTACGGGTAGAAATGCTGACATTAGTGAGCATTTAGGTGCATGTTGGGCAAAAGTGAAGGGGACAAAGGCATTTTCAGTAGTTTCATGAGGTGTGCTTCCGTCGTGGTCCTGTTCTGCTTCCTCCGCTGGTTCATTGTGGCAGCATCTCGGCGGCAAATCCTTTTCGATTTGAGCATCTTCCTGCCCTTCGCAATACGAAATTACAGGTAGTCAGAGGAAGTTCCTGCAGTTCATAGGTGTTCTACTACATGGGCTACTGCATCATGGTGCTCCTGACCATGGCGCGAGTAAGCTTGTACTGGACTTTTGCCATCATCAAGGCAGGTCGGGGCAGCATGCAACTGTGGGTGCGGGCATCGATCCTTCGTCAAGCGCCAGAACATGCCAGAACCAACGTGTGCTTTGAAGGGAACCGTCATGCTCTTTCTGGCAATTGCAGATTTCTGCAAGAACTGTGGCCTGGCCTGGTTGTGCACAGGGGGAACACATGTTCCGTTGCAAGTTGAGCCGTCTTTGGATGCTCAGGTATGTTCATGTGGTTCATCCCTGACGTCTCCAGTATTGGAAAGGGATGCTTCTACTGTGTATTCTGGCCGAAGAAAGGCCAGTGGCCGAAGGAGGCTGCTTGCCTCGGCTTGCTCTGGCTCTTGACGAAGCAAGGACTGACTTTGGGTGCAGACTGCTTTGGGAAGGTGTGTGGCCAAGCACCGGCTTTCGCAGCCTGGGCCCGCAGCTCGGGAGCTGTCGGTCGGTCACCCAGCCACGGAGACTCTGGTGCACCCGAGGTGCCACCCTTCTGCCCACACTGCTACTAGTTGGAACCTGGCGCTGTGCAGGCACGGAAAAGACTGGCAGACTTTTTCTTTCATTGGAGACCTGGCACTCCGTGCTCGTCTGGATGCTGAAGATTGAACCACAGATACTAGGCAATGCCACAGACACAGGGGATCATCGCAGATTGATGCGTCATTGAAAACGGATGATGGAGTGTATGTAGCCTCATGTTATGTGCCCGATTTGTTCTTTGTTGCAGCTGTTTATCAATCGAACGGCTTCGTGGGCAACTACAGCCTAGGCCATTGATTGTCGTGCGAGCAACTTCCGCTTCATGCGTCATGTAGCGATATCGCAGAGCACATTGGTGTTGTAGCAACGTTCGGCATGTCAACAGCTTCCAAAGCTACCAGTGGGACTTGCGTAGACTTATTGACTTATTGCCTTACCTTGTCGTATGTCTCTCACCTACTCCTCCCGAGCATTCGTGCTTGCTGGAGAAGGGGTTGGCCAAAGTGCCTTCCCACGCCTGTGCCGCGAGTGTGAGCGCCTCAGAGATCACAATGTGCAGTCTTTCAAATTTGTGATGCAGGGTTTTCGCACCCACAGGCAGTCAATCAATCAAGCAATCAATTATTCATTCGTTCAATCAATCAATATTTCAATTTGTGCAGCGATGTCTCCTTGTGTCACATTGTGGCATGCGAAATGACGTGTTTGCATGCCGAGTAGCAGAAGGACGTCGTGTCTGAGGCTATGGCGCAGCAGAGACGCCCCAAAGATCGAAACAAAGAGTTCGAGGCGACAGAGCTGCACTCCAAACATGTTGCTGCAGCGTCAAATAAGGGTCACGTTTCCACCTGAAGTTGTTGCCCACCGCATCGCGAGTCCTCTCACTCAGGCCGGGCGGATGCATTGCTCCTTGAAGACCCATTGAACCGGGGGCCTACCGTTGAACTCAACTTTGTTGAGGCTGCTCGTGGTTGTCAGCACACAGTTGTGTTTGATTGTTGTCCTACTGTAGCATGCCGAAGAGAATACAGGTGCCCTGTTGGTGGGTGGAGGCGGATCTCCGCAGCTGCCCGTGACCTAGACCCGAGCATCTCTGTCGGCTGGCGCCCTGACAGCTTTTGAGATCTGGTGAGGTGTGGAGGAGCGGAAGTCCTTCAACGACTGCGCAGTGCTGCTGGTAGACGTTTGTAACGCTGACAGCTTTGATGCCGCGAGACTACGAGGCCTCGGCGTGGCCTTCCGAGCAATGGGTTTCTAGGAGCTCCCAAAGAAAGCGCGTGGCACGGCGTAGGCCGGTGGGCCATGGCCGCTGGCCTTCGCTGCGTGACTGTCCGGATCTTGGGCACTGCACGGCGCAGTTCGGGGAGCTACTGCCGTGCCCAAGCAGGTACTGAGCTTCTCCGGACCATGTCAGGGCAAAGCCTCTCCGTCCCCGTCCGGAGCCTCACTCTGACTGCAGCCCGTGACTGTGAGGCGTGTTTTCTCTGAGGCTCCGTGCCCGGCTCGTGCAGCAGGATAGACTTGATTGGCTGTCAGACGAGATGAGCCTGGCAGCACCCTTACATACTCTTCTGCGAGTGCGTTGTCCATCATCCGTCTGTCTCGTGAAGTTATGACGCGCAGGCAGAAGGCACGGGGAACTTCGATGTAGCATGCACGAAGTCATAAAAAGAAGCTCTGGAAGCTGATGCCATACAGACCCAGCTCCGTCGGCAGAAACACTGATGCGGCCCATTCACGGTTTAAAACGATTGGAGGGCCATGAATTAAATGTTGTGACATCTGTTTGAGCAACTTTCGGGTTTGCCCCGTGCAATAGTCCATGAAGGAGAAGGATGTGGGGTTTCCTGGCGGCGTTTTGAGACCTTCCTTGGGGCCGCCCAAACTGCAAAACATGGGTCGCGAAGAAAAGCGGTGCTTGGTGCATCGCAGATTCAGGAGGTGTATCGGGTCAAAGTTCTGCAGAATTCGAAGTAGCGCTCTCAGGTGAAGCCTTCTCACTTCGACTGCACGCTGGAGGCTGTTGTGACTTTGCTCGTGATGTCCTTGTTTCGCATCCGGTGTCATGTACTTTCGAACTGAGACAGAGACTGCAAGTGTTCATGCCTATGGCCCTATGGCTTCGGTCTTTGCAGGCGATTGGGTCTGGGAGCCCTCAGTTCCAGCTCGAGTGCCCCCTGCACACTTGGGGGCTCTTTGGGGCTCTTTGTTGGTCATCAGTGGTCAAAGCTCTTTCCGTCCCTGTCTCGAGGCTCTTCTTGAAAGTGCTCACACTGCGGCTGCTGTGGCTAAACCTGGCTCCGATAGAGGCAAGCGGATCCCAAGCCAAGGCCCCCGCTGCTCAGATTTTACTTCGCCGCCAAGTTGAAGGTGAACTCATCTCCATCAGATCTTGCTACACCGAAACATACTGGCGCTGAGCTATTGCATTCTGGCATGAGGGCCTGTCGAAGGGTTCGCAGCTCATCGTAGTGTCAGAAGCACACCACAGCCTATTACGTGCCCATAACAACAAGCCGCAACAGCAATTGCCAGCTGCCTTGCCCAGAGTCCCTTCGTCCAGCTGTCCTGTGAGCACTCTCCCTGGCCAGCTTGCCTCACTGTGCGTGTAACAGAAGAAAGAGGCACCTGCGAGCCTCTCCACGCCATCGTCACGCCGCTGGACCGGCCCTGCGCCACTTGGCATCAACGAGCTTCAGCTGAGCGGAGGGATTCAAGGCACGGTCCCGGTTGGCAGGCTGAGTTCGCGCTCGGACTCCGTGCTGTCCTCGCAAGGAACATTGTGATTGTCGTGGTTCGATTTTTTGCTCGTGACTCGCGTCCCGTCGCAAGGTCCCCGGCGGGCGCCGCCCTGGGCCCCATGCTCAGGTTCGCTGCCTTCCTCGGCTTGGCGGCGCTTTCCGCCGCCTTTCTCTCTCCTCTCTCGCTTCCCCATGCTTCCCCAAGGCCGCGGCAGGGTGCAAGTCCAGGTCCGCCGCGATGTGCAAGCGCCCAAGCAGTCCAAGTCCAAGTCCAAGATCGCTGAAAAGGCGCCAAAAGCACATCGCTGAGGCTCACATCTTGCCTGCCCGGTACATGCCTGGGATTCGAACTGCTCCCGATGGACCTCCCCGAGGCAAGCGAAAGCACGAGTGGACGAGCGGACGAGCGGACGAACGAGTGGTGCGATGATAAAGCCTCACACTAGCTCGGCCAAGCGGCCACGTGGTCTGTCATTGAAGTGCGAAGTCATGACTTGGGAGCAGCAAGATGTCACTCCGGGCACATTGGGCTCATTGCATACGGAAGCGCACGACAACCTGGAACAAGCCAGACGGCCATTCGAGGGCCCTTCAAGAGCCCGAGTCCTGGCGAGGTCGCACATGGTGGGGATCCGAGCCCAGGAGTGGCCTGTAATCCGCAGCACAAGCAAGGCCACGCAGTTTTCAGTGGCGATCCGAGACTTGAGCATTGCATAGTGCGATCTGCTATCTACTGCTCCTTCGAGCCTGGAAATTCGTAGACAAGGCTTTTGGCAGCATTCCACGCTCTCACTGATTCCTCGAGGAGTGTGTCTCCAAGGCGGCCTTCGCCGCCTGTGCACTGGAGTGAAGTCGCCCAGCATTCGGGGTCTGCCGACATTCCCGACATCTCGTGAGTCCCGGGCTTCGCATGCCCAGGTTCACGCCAAGCTGGCCGGAACCGCAGCCCCCTTCAAATCCGGCGTCGGTCCGAATCCGCTGGGCGTTGGAGTCCAAGAGCAGGGCCTTTCTGAATCAAGGCTCCAAGCGAAACGGAAGTTTGTTTGTTTTGGCGCCAGGTTCGGAGCCTCACGAGACGATGGCCAGCGAAGAGGCCGGATCTGCCTCGGGCGCAAGCTGCGGAACGGGTTCAGCAGATCGCTCCAAGGGCGAGGAGTTGCGGAGCAGCGATTGCAATCCGGCATCCTTGGCAGCGGCAGAAGCCAAGCGCCTCGCCGTGGCCCCAGCTTGGCTGCATGGATTCAGCGAGTTTTGGTGGAACGAGTCTGCAGGTAGCCGCAGGGCCACAGGGACCCTTCCGTCGGCCACAGCAAGAACAAGAGCGTCGAAAGTCGGTGGAGTTGTCCGGGACTGGCTGGAGTCGTGCTGGGCATGCTTAGCCCCCTGTGTCTTTCGAAGCTGTCCGCGGCGTTTGCTCACTTATTCATGTGTCATTGCTCGGAATGTCTGGTGCAGGACAACTAGCAACGGAGTGCATCCGGAGGACGCTGGGTCTTTCGGCGTAGGGGCTCTTGCAGAAGAACGGCGCAATATGCAAGTCTGGCACAGTATGGACGAACTGCATTGCCTGGGTTTGAGGAGGATGCCCCGCTGGAGACCGTCATCAACCTGAGCACCTTAGCAGAGCGGTCTCGTGAGGCGCCGCAGTGCGACACGAGGGAGTTCCCTGTTGAAGCGCGTTGGTTCGAATTTGGAGAAAGCTCCTTACCCCCAACATCCCCCAACCGCCCAGCCGTTTGCCCTCCCAGCCACCATTTGAAGCAACGGCGTGCTTCCCGAGCCTGGAATGAGAAGGAGCGTATTGCGCAAGGTGTGAAGAGGATGGGGCCTGCCGGCACTTGAAATGAGCGGAGCCTGCCTCAGGCATCTGGGCCTTGTGGTCCAAGCGCGAGACAGGCCGGGCCCTTGCCAGCCCATGGCAACCATGGCAGTTCTGGCCGAAGCTGGCAGGAGAGCCCGCGCTCGAAGCGTTCATGCGTGTTCAAGGCGGAAGGGCAGACCAGTTCCAGCCTACTAGTTACTAGACTCCACCACTTCTCGTCCTCTTCGTGTTATGGTTCAATGTGTCGCTTTATGGCCTTTCCAGGAATTGCGAACCAAGTCATGCACGTGACTCTCTGGAAGCGAGAGGTCTGAAGCCGCCATTTCTCCCACAGTCGCTGGACCCCACAGCAAAAGAAGAAGAGTTGATACTAGTAAACCCTGAAAGTTGGATGGAAGCAGTATTCAAGTACATTGACGTAATGAAGCAGCTGCTTCGCAGAGCCAGCCGCCATTCGCAACTCCGGCCTTTATCGAGTGCTGCGCCGGCTCTCAGCGCGCTTCCTCGGCTGGGTGGGCTTGGTTTCAGAGAGACTCGGACACCGCAGACACCACAGCTGTCAGCTCTTCTGGGGCGTCGGCCTCCCTTTGTACCGGGCGTGGGCGGCGTGGGCTCCGGTACCCGTGCATTTGCGTCTGCAAGGAACCAGTCCTACTACCAAGTGCTGGGTGTGTCCTCGTCAGCCTCGCAGGCAGAGATCAAGAAGGCATATCTCGGCGAAGCCAAGAAATGCCATCCAGATTTAAATCCTTCCAAAGATGCGAAAGAGAAGTTCCAGCAGTTGGCGGAAGCATACCAGGTGTTGGGCGACGCAGACAAGCGCCAGCAATACGATCACTTCCTCCGCGAAGGAACTTCGCAGAGCTTCAGTGGAGCCCGGCGATCACAAGGGGGCCCAGCCCAAGGCTTTCAGGCTGCTCCGCCACCGAGCGACCTGGACCCCTTCGAGCTCTTTCGGGCTGTGCTGGAGGCACTGGCTCGGGGAGGTAAAGTGACCCGCTGATTAGTAATGGTCCCCTCAATAGAGCTAAACTCGGCCTGCACAGAATAGTGGGAAGATCCCCTCAATTCCGCTGTACTGGGCCTCTCTCAATAGTGTTAAATTCCCGTCCCGCTTTTCATTTTTTTTCGCTTGTGGGAAGTAGACTAAGTAGACACTCCTACTTAAAACCTGAGCCCTTGGAAGAGGAGGCAAGATAGAGGAGACACGGAGAGGAGAGATAGCCAGACAGCCAGACTGAAGGCTTAGGAGAAGAACAGAAGAGGCTCAGAAGAGAGACCCCCCAAGCAACTTAGACCCCGCCCTCCCAAACATCTTTGGCCCAAAAACGCACAGCCACTGTTGCGCATTGAAGCTGTTCGGGGAGGTTTATTAATCAGGAGACCTTTTTGAGGGGAAGGCATCTCTTTTTTGCAGAGATCGATTGTCAGGAGCTCGGCTCGGAACGCCTCATGGGGCGTGTGCGCGCGGTTCAGAAGGAGGCCGGCGATGCCAGCGTCGCCGCGCAGGCCGGGGACTTTGCGCCCGCCAAGACCTTCATTTGGAAGCACAAGGGCCTCGCAGCCTCCGTGCTCTTGCCCCTGGGCATCATCCTGCGTTTTCCGGGCCTCATTGGAATGGCCCTGCGGGTCCTGGGTCTGGTCGCCGCGGCCACATTGCAGAACCCAGCCATGCGCGAGATGTTCGCCAGATGGACTTGGATCCAGTGTCGTGCTCAGCTTCCGCTTCGATATTGCATGCCTTTCAGGGTGTTGCCATAATGCCATAGACACTTCATTGGCTTTAGTCTTTAGTTTGGCTCCCTTGTTTGCTGGAGCGTTTTGGACGGGTGGTGAGTGTAGAGTAAGTAAACACTGACTCTGTAGCTGCACAGATGCATCAACTGCTGCGGCAGATTGGTGTGTGCGAGCCCTCAGCCCTCCAGGTGGCGCTTGCTGGTGCAAAGAGCTGCCAGGCGGGCTCACGAAAAGAAGCGGTGAGGAACAGATCGTCACTCGCGACTCCTTGGTTGCAGAGACACTGCAAGGAGGCCTGAAGCAAAAGGCTGTGAGGCTGCAGGATCCAGTTTTTGCTGTCCGTGCCAACATTTCGATAGGGATCGGTATCCAGCTAATAGTTCTCTACGTAATACCCAACCTATCTGACATGAGTTTCGGATCAAGCCTCATCGTTTCGCCACTTTGCGAAGTGGGCCGGGGGCCGACCACGTGCCTTAGCACCATGTCCATGAGACTTGGATGCACTCGGTGCAGCACCGATTTTGGTGTGGTCCTGGCGGTACATGTGTCACCCCTGGACTCAGGAGAGGGACGCTCAAAAAGTTTTTTGCCGAAAAGGGCATAGGCGCCGGATTGACAGATTACATGGCATGTTTCTACCCGTAGAAACATCAAGTGAAGAGCTGTCTGCTGTTGTGGAGGTTACATAGCTCCTGATGATGGCAGCGAGGATGTGTTTATCCACTTTCAATCGCTGATAAACGGTGGTGCCTTGGTCCTGGAATTGTGTTGTGTAAATCGATGCCTCTCCACGCCTGGCAGCACCTGTCCTGTAAGTTGCGGGATGTCCAAGTTTGCCACCTATGGTACCTATGGTTAAGGCTTTGAAAGCTTCGAACAAGAGTAGGAAGGAGTGCATCGTTTTCGAAGCGTCGCGGTAAAGGCTTCAAAGTTTTGTGTGCTGCCGTTCTGCCGCCGTCTTTGTCGAGTGCGGAAGATGTCCTTCGTTTTCGTTTCAGAGTCCCCAAGCAGGGGCCCATGGCGGCCTCCCCGAGCCTTGTCGAGCTCCGCCCCGCAACTCCTTTCACCGGCTTGCATTAGGCAGGATCCTGCCCGCGTTTTTGCGCCACGACTCTCGGGTCATGAGAGAAGTGCCTGCGTGCTGCTGGTCGCTTCGCTCGCGGTGCAGCCGGGGTCCCGGCGGGAATGGCGTTCCCGCACTCGCCGTACTCGCCGTCGCGTGCGCGAACCCCGAGGACAAGGTTTCGGCCTCCCGGGAGGAAAGCAGGGCTGGACCACCGGCTTGACAGCCTGTATGGTGCCAAACGCCTTGGAGTCATGGCTGGGCAAGCTTGATCCATCTGTCCGCGAAGTCATCAAACGCATAGACAAACACTACGGTCACCAAGCTTGGATAGTTGGAGGCGCCGTCCGGGACGTGCTGTGTGGCTACAAGCCAGCCGATGTGGATGTTGCGACTACGATGACACCCGCGATGCTGCAGCAGATTTTCCCTGATCTTATTATGACCGGTGCAAAGTATGGTGTCGTGACTGTGAAGCACAAGGGCTGCCTGGTGGAGTGTGCACAGCTCCGTAAAGCACCACAGGGCTCGGACGGGGCACGCCAAGAACACTCCGAGCTCGCAGACAGTCTTCTGGAAGACTTGCAATCCCGCGACTTCACGGTGAATGCAATGGCGGTGGATCTGACTCGCAAGGTGATGTACGATCCCTTCGGCGGACGCGGCGATGTGAAAGATCGACGATTGAGGGCTGTGAGCTTTCCCCCCGAGCAGATGATGCGACAGGACGGTCTGAGGGTTCTGCGTGCCTACCGCTTCTGGGCGGCCTTCAGTGAGGTCCCTTGGACACTGCATGAAAGCTTGGCCAATGCACTTCGAAAAGTTGGAGGCCAGCTCTTAGCGAACACTGCCAGACAAAGAATTCTGAGCGAGCTGAAGAAGATCCTGAGCCGCCCCAGAGGTTGGGAAGCCATGAGGCAGATGGCGGAAGATGGGGTGCTTTCTGCCATCCTGGGTCATCCAGTAGATGTGGAAGGTCAAGAGCTGAGCGCTTTGAAGGCCCTCTACGCGCTGCCCGAAGTAACGGCATCCCTGATGCGCCAGAGGCCGAGGGCGCTGGAGAGGCCGGTGACCTACCGCCAAAGCCAAACTGCACGGAAGGGCCCATTGCTCTTTGAGGATCCGCTCCAACGACCAACGCCGGCCAAGAGACCGCAGCCTTTCGAGTTCTACGCAGTGGTCGACTTCGAGGCCACCTGCTGGGAGCAGGGCCAGAAGGCGGCATCCCAGGAGATCATCGAATTTCCCGTGGTGCTGCTGCATGCAGCGTCTGGTGCCTGCGTGGGTGAATTTCACAGCTTCGTCAGGCCGAGTACGAAGACGAGGCTCTCACACTACTGCAGGTGCCTCACTGGCATCTCCCAGTCCACCGTGGACGAGGCTCCCTACTTCAAGGAAGTGGTCGCGAAGGTGTCAACCTGGCTCCAGGAAAAAACCAAAGGCGCTGACCTTGCCTGGGTTGCAGATGGCGAGTGGGACCTGGAGGTGCCGGCTCTCAGAGACTGCCGCTATAGGCTCTATAGTACATTTACTGATGGTTCCGGTTCCTGCTCCCTACTTGTAGTGAGCTGCTAGTGTAGCCGGAGCTGCGGCCCTCTTGCATCCTCCTCGACAGGAGATGCTGCCTGCCCAGTGGAGGCGAAGCTTCGGGGAAGCGCGGATGCCTGAAAGCTGGAAGCAGTTCATCGACGTGCGCCAGGTTTTCCAGCAAGTCCACCCAGGCATGCTGAGGCCAGGAATCGGAAAGATCCGGATGATGTGCGAGTTTCTGCGCATCCCAAACTTGGGGCCTCTCCACTCTGGCATCGCCGACACGCGCAACGTCGCCCGCATCGCGCTGATGCTCATGAGGGAAGGTGCTGTCTGTCAGGCTTTCCCACCCAGAGATGCCCAGCGGCTCCCTCGCCCCTTTCCGTCACCGCCCAAGAAGGAGAAGCAGGAGGTGAAGGCGACGAAGGCGAAGCTCAAGTGCCAAGCAACTTCTCGGAAAATCCAGGCTTTCGAAGAGGCCATGACTCTCATGTTGGCACGGATGGAGGGTGACGAGGCTCTAGAGCTTATGAAGCAGTTGCACTTCAGCAAGCTCGAGCAGAGATTCGTCACGGAGCACGTGCATTGCCTCGGAGAGCTTCCGGCTGGCGGGGACGCGGGAGCAATCCGCCGCTTCCTGGTCGCCTGCGGCGAGGACTTCGCCTTCGCGCAGCTGCGCCTGGAGCGAGCCTGGCTCTCGGGCGGAGAAGCGCAGCTCGCGCCGCAGCAGCTCGGGCAGCAGCTGGCGCAGCTCGCGGAGTTGGAGGAGGCCTTGGAAGCGCAGCTCGGCGACAAGGAGGCCTGGGAACGGCTCCAGAAGCCGCTGGCAGATGGCCGTTGGATCCAAAAGGAGACGGGCTTAGACTTGGACATGGTGGGCCCCATCAAGGAGTGGCTCTACTATCAGCAAGTTGACCAAGACCTGAAGTCATTAGAGGAGCTGAGGCACCAGCTGGAAGGCCTGGGCATGGAGTCTTTGGAGATGCAGTCGGCGCCGATGGTGTCATGGCCACCGGACAGGACCTGCAAGCAGCTTCCGGGAAAAAGCGCGTGCGAGGCTGCAGTAACGGACTGCAAGTGTCAAATTCATCGAACTTTACCTTCCTAAGAAATAAGTATTCTGACCATCCGCACCCCAAGGCCTGAACCGACTCACCGGACGAGTTCCGAAAAGTGAATCAGTCAGAGTTTGCCTGGGCTCACATTAACGATGGCTGAGGAGAAGCCGACATGATTCCAGGGGCCAAGCTTAGCTACGACTTGGAGATTAACGATCGAAATGGAAAGACAAAGGCTTCGTTGTCGTAGCCGCAGACATCGCTGATGTTCGTCTTGATCTTGATGCTCTGAGACTTGCGGAGTGGTTGTGGCGAGGCAGTTCGCGTGAAGGTCGAAGCCCCCGGTGACCCCAGCTACTCGTGGAAAGGCGGCGGTGGTGGCGGCGGCGGCAAAGGACAACACCAAGTCTTGTTCGTAAGTACAGACAAAATGCTGTGTGGATGCTTGGAAGGAGGTTATGGCAAAGCTCCCGCAGGCCGTTTTGCACAAACGTGGGAGCGAGCAACTCTGCTTCGAACTGCCCATCCTGTTTTTCGGGGTTTGCTCTCCGGTTGCAAGCTCGCATCTGCGTGCTTGCTGCTGACACATTCACCTCCACAGTTTTGCCTGGCACGTTGATTAGCCGATTAGCCATGCTTCCCAACCGGCCAGGACGAAGCCACGGCACCGGCCCCTATGGCCAATCCTACGGAGCGCTCCGGGAATCAGGGCATGATTTGCAGAGCACAGCGGCTGTAAGAATCCTTGCGTGCGCTGATCCCTGAGGAGGTGGCATGGGTGGGGGTGGCTACGACGGCGGTGACGCCGCCTACTGGCAGCAATTAATGGCAACCATCACGCAGGCAGCGCAGGCGCGACTGCATGGCCTTGAAAGTGCAGCAGAAGCGTCAGGGTTCCAGCTTTCGGGATACTTGAAGGGGGTTGCATTGGAGAGCTCTTTCCTGCGTTTGCACGTTGCCAGCGCGCCAGGCAATGCAGGGTGGCGGCTATCAGGGGGGCCCGGGGTCCGAGCATCGAACCGTGCTGTATGCCGACGTTGTGTCACGGAAAAGAAGTGCGGACAAACCGAAGCATTGCAGTTGCAGCTGTTGACCTCAGGTGGTGGAGGTGCGGCGGGGAGCGGAGGGCAGAACAGACTCTGATTTTTGGGGTGTGCAAGCCTTCAAGAGGCCTAGTAGCGGATGAGCGCACGTGAGGCTACGGAGCCTGGAAGTGAACTTGGCGGCCTCGGCCTCATTGTGTTAGTGTGACACCGTCGCCGCAGTCGCCTCGGCCATGCGATATTGAAGCGATGCGTGGAGGTGCCAAAAAATCTTGAGACTGCCCTGGAGCGCACCAAAGCAGGCCTTACCATATCTCGACACTCGTGCCTCAACGCTCGGCCAGAAGAGCAAAAGTGGGGAAAGTCGCTGCCAGATGCAATCATGCCATCTGCACGTTCTCATTGCATGCATTTCTTCCGTTTTGTGGCCTCTGGCTGCATGTGCAAGTACGTTGTTTCAACCAGCTTCTTGGACCACCAAATGAAGGGATCCCATGTGCTTGTAACTCGGCATGCAGGCCCGCAACACCCATTTGCAGCCAACCTCAGTAGAAGTAAGTAAGCCCTGCGAAGCAATCGTCGAGCCTCCCATGACCGCTGCAGTTGCAGTCGCGGTGGGCCCTTAGTGACTCAGCCAGTGTCAAGGAAGCCGCTCCCTTGCCAAGCTGTATAGGATGCAGGGACTCTCTCGCCGCAGAGGGCGCGGAGTGGAATGGCAAGCTCAATGCCGAGATCTCGGTGGCAGCACATTTGGGCGATCTATTTGTAGTCCGATGCTGGAGGTCCTGGAGTTCTCCGCAGCTTCGTCGACGGGGTCCGACCCCGTGGAACGACACCCTGCGGCTGCCGGGGAGCTCAGTGTCTCTGACTGTCGCAGTCTACCAGAAACTTACGGGAGGCCGCGCGAGGGGCCACGGCCTGGTGGTGGCCGCTGTGAGGTCGAAGTCTCAGCTTGGCTTGGCTCCGTCCCCCATGCTCTCCGGCTCAAGGTAGCGGATATGGGCATGGTCGAGGCATCGGGCGCCCTTTTCACTCTGATGGCAGCTTGACATTGGTTTTTGCCAGAGGCCATCAAGACCGATTCCTTACGAGAGAAAGTGGAAGCTGAGGCTCCTCTTCGAGCCCTTATGCTCTCCACCCCTCCGTTGCGCAAGTCCTTTGCCCGCGTGAAGTTTGGAGCCTCGCCTGAGAGGCAGCGCGAAACATGGAGGCATCCCATCGGGAGAAGACCATGAAGAAGTCCCCCAAAAGGACCTGAAAGTCATGGTAATGAGAGTTGACGGTCCAGGGACTATGTCGAAACAGAGAGCAGTGAGCAACGGTTCGCAGTGTTTTGAGGCCGCCATACCAACAAGGCTGAGCAGTGCTGCTAGGACCATGCGACAGACGACGGCGTCTGTCGCCTCCCCTAGTGCCAGGCTCTTGCCTGCTTGCGGTGTCCAAGGGTTCGCATCATGGACTTGAACAAGACACTGTGGAGCGTGGGCGGTCACGGGAGTGCCATTTCCAAGGCATCGACACTCGCAGCGACTTCGGCGCTCGCAGGCCAGGGAAAAATGATTCCCGATGGGGAGGGAGCTGACGGGTCCACGCTACGAGCAGGTGGCGATGAGACTGCCGGCGCCTCAACAACCTGGTTGTGCATTGCCGTGCGCTGCCGTGCGCTGCCGTGGGTGTGAGGCACTGATTAGGAGGGCAGAGCAGCTGGACGGACCAGAGGCGAGGTCTCTTCGGAAATCCGAGTCAGTGAGTAATTCGCGGGGCTGCTAGGCTCGACGCCGAATCGAGCTGCAGACAAAGTTCAACAAGGCCCGACAAGGGTCTCAGAGCGAAAGTGCAAGTCTCTTTTAATGCAGATCCAACTTGTTGCGCTTGCTTGCTTTGTGAGTATCCCCCGTCGTGTCTTGTTTTCGCTGCGAGGTGGAAGTGGTGCGGCAGGCCGATCAGAAGTTCATCCGAGAGCGGGCGGAGAAGCACTTCGGCAACGATTCAGAGTTCCAACCCGAAGACAATGCGAAGCGATGCCGCCGCCCGGAAGTGGTACTGGGGCACTGGAGGGCCCGCTTCGCCACTGCTCCTCCAAGCGAAGATTTGGCGGAGAAGTCGAAGTCGACTAAGTCACTCCAAGACACAAAGATGGCCATCTTCGGAAATCCGGGACCCGAACTCAAGCGGGAAACTGTGTCCTTCTGTCATTTTAACGCTTCGCCGCCCGCCTCGGCTGTGTAGCGGCAGGGTGAGGGGGCAGTCGATGTTTTTTTATGCTAGGGCGGCCTGTCAAACCCGGTTGTTGATACGAAGTGCGAGGAATGGGTAGGGGAGGGGGGGGAGGGGGGGGAGAGGGAGGGGGAAGCGGGGGGGGAGAGGGGAGGGGGGGGGAAGGCCTGGGAGGGGGGGGGGGGAGGCCGACAAATCAGGTAAAATGAGGGGAAGCCGGGCAAGGGGGTGGCAAACGAACACAAAAAGCGGGTGTCCCCAAACATTTGGACCGGGAGGAGGATTAGGTGGAGGGAACCTGAGCTAACCCCCAAGACTCCTGGGCCTGTGGCCTCGGCGGATAAGCAGCTGCGGAGGGACATCAGGCCACTTCGTAGTCAGATGCAGACCTGTCTCGTCTGGCGAATTCAGCGGTAAAACTTGATATCGGAGAATGTTTGCAGCAGTGTGTCGGGAACTAAGGCACAAGACGATGCGCGACGATCGCTTCAAGCGTCTCGTCGATGCAGTCTGTGATCATGGAGGCCGTTCCCATTGCTTGTTGAATTGTTGGAATGGAACATTCGTGGGCAGATAGATAGAGCTTTGGTGCTGGGCATCGCTAAGCTTTGAATCCGAGAAGATTCGTACCGTGCAGCAATGCCGGCAAGGCCTTGCTATGGAATGCGCCGAAAACCTTGCTGCATTCGAGCAGCGCTATCAGTCTTCCCGGCTGTGGTTTCAGATCATTATTGGGCTTCCGTCCGCCTCCCTGGCTGAAATGACGTCTTTGCAGGCAGCGTCGATGGGACCTGTATGCCCAGTGGGACGAGCACGTGTCACATCCCCTGGCTAAGCAGGCCAGCATGGATGCTTGCCGTCCATGCAGGGGCAATCACTGCATGATAGGCCTTTGACTACATCAATCCAGCCGACCGTGCAGCGCAGCAGAAGCTCAACGGCTCGAAATCTGTCAGTGCTCCGCCACGAATTCCTTCCATCGGGGACGCTTTACCCATCATGTTTTGTATGATTGTATGAAACAAGCCAGGCTGGAAGCTCCCGCACGAGAAGCCTCAGCTGAAGCTCGACGTGTCCAAGGCTTTGACTCGGGGTTTGGTAAGAGCAGATGCTGACACCTCGAGCGGTGAGGACCCCGCTCGACGTCAGCTTTACGACACCGAAGCCGAGAAAAACTTTCACGAGGCGAGCATGCATGTCCTGCCGTTTGCCCCGTGAAGCGTAACACGAAGAGTTCGTATTTCTGGCTGTCCCCGTCTCCGAAGGCGCTGCGTTCTTGTGAGCCGTTGGCTCGAAGTTGCAGTCGACAATTGGTAGAGCTGCGTGTTTCAAGTTTCAGGCTTTGCCGAAAGCATATTCAAAACGATTGCCGTAGATATTGGCAACATATTCGATGGATTGCGAGACCTAGTGGTGTCTGCCATCGCTGCGCAGCAGGAGCAAAGCAGCCTGCTTCTGAAGCAGCAGCGCGAGCAAGATGAATTCATCGGGTCCTTGCAGAAACGTGTTCAATACTGGGAAGAAGCATTGTCGGAGATGGCATGCCAATTGCAACAGGTCCGTGCACAGATCGGTGAGCATGACCAAGGTGCAGAAAAAGACATGGCAACGGATGCTGCTGAGGAATGGAAAACCTTGCGAGCCACCGTTGCAAAATGCTTGCAGGCGGCATGGTACGGAAAGGCTGCAGAGAAAGAGCAGCAGGAACTACCGCAAGAGCCTGTCGAGTTGAATGCCACACTGTGGACCAGCCAGGCGCTGGAACCAGAAGCCTTTTTGCAATGGAAGCACGAGCCTGCAGGCGAAAGTGTGTCTGAGGCGCAAGAACGACGAAACAGCCGGTCGAAGTGAGCCCACCGCAAGTGCAAGAGGATCCCCAGGAATTGCATTCGTGGGGATCCTGTTGCATTGGCGCCGGAGTTTCAGGTCTTCGTTGTCAAAGGCGTGAGCTGGAGTGTCCGCCTCTTCCGTCTCAGACACACTTTCGCCTGCAGGCTCGTGCTTCCACTTCTGCCTTCTGCGCCCATGTCGCCTCCACCAAAGCATCGCATGATGCCTGGGCTTGCAACAGCGAAGCCCAGTGGGCCAGGTACAGGACGGACCACCAGAGAAATTGGACCTCAGGATGGCAGGAGTGGTCAGAGTCTGACAGTCTGACCACTCTTGCCATGCTGAGGTCGGTCAGAGTACTCCGATCTACGTCGCGCTCACTTGATGCCAAGTCGCGGGCATGGTGCGAGGACGAGCACTCGAAAATGCCTCCCAATGCCTCGCGCTGCTGAGCTTACAATCATTTGCGTGTCCCAGCAAAGAATTCGGCGCCGACTTGCCCCTTTAGTCGGAGTCGTGGAAAAGAGCGCCCCGTGCGGACTTTGTTTTCCAATGTTTGAAGACCAGTGTTGTTTTATTACCGTCTCTCTACCGAAGTCTCTATGTGACTGGCCACGCAACTTTCATTCGATCCGAAAATCTCTCTGGGACACTGCGCGTGGAACGACGCGGAAGGGCTGCGGAAGGCGCTCCGCGGAAGGGAGCGGAAGCATCGAGTCTCGCGCAAGGGTCGGTTCGAAAAACGTTGCGCGGAAGGGTGTGTGGAAGGGACAATGCAGTGACTGAGAAGCGTGCCAACGCATCCAGTCGTGGAAATCTGTGGGAGCCTTTGGAAGGGTTGCGCGGCTCGAATGGGGGGGTCCCAAACAAAAGCTAGATTTGATGGCGACGGTCGTTCAGGTCTCTACCGAGAATACTCCAGGCAAAAGATGCAGATATGGAGACACGTGTTACGGGGTCTGAAGTTTGATGGTGATTCGTTCAAGGTTGGTGTGCAATCTGAAACCCGCGTGGTTTGTTTCTAGCCATGTCCAGCCTATGGCACGGCCTGACGAGTTAGAGCGGGTAGAGTTATCCGAGAGATTGGTGATGTTTTGAATGTGGCATTTATAGGTGGCTGCGGATTCGATTTAATCAAGGGCATCGCGAGCATCTCCCTGATCGAAGGTGGCCGAGACCGTCCTTGGCCGCAGCCGCAGCTCCCCGGAGATCCTGCGGCGCTCAGCCATGCGGGACCCGCCACAGCCCAAGACCAAAGTGCCACAAAGCAACATGTTCACTTGGCCCCAGTGGCCCAGTGTCCAAGGCGTGTCGTGGGCACCCGAGCCCTGAGCCGACCGGTGCTAGAACCGACCGTGCGGCACTCGGTGAGATCGGGGCTCGAGCCTGGCATAGCCTACAGGGCCTAATGCGCCCTCCTGCTCAGGACTGGGGCCAGCAGCAGCTGCAGGGAACACTTTTCGGTCGTTTTGCGCAGGCGCGAGGTCGAAGCAGGGGGTGGCCAGGGGAAGGGGACTCTGCGGCCCTGCAGTGCTCTGCAGCGCTAGGCATGTGAAGAGGGGCCCAACTTCACGCGCGCGCGGCGTGGCGGGACGAACGTCTTCGTGCCTGACGAGACTGACGGCATTGAGGCCGTCAGCTCCTCTGAAATGACTCGCTCCAACGGGCGGAGGAAGCCTATGTCACTGGCCTATGTCTCGGGATGTACAGTCGATCTTTTGTCGGCTGAGGCTGGCACGCGCTTCAGCCGCCTGCATGGTCACCATGACATGGGCATACTCCGTGGAGACACGGGCTCACAGGGTGAGACCTCGAATTTCAAAACCCATGAAGGCAGGTTGCACTTGTCCAGACTCTGCGCAGCCTGGATACCCGCACAGGAAGCTCTTCGGGCGCGCCTGCACAAGATCATTTCACTTTCCAGCACAGCAGGGAGATCACCGACCTCGAGTTCCCTTTGGGAAAGAAGGCGTGGTTTCGCTCTGGCACAGTGCTGTCCCTGCTGCTCAATCTCGAAGGTCTTTCCAGAGTTCCACTGAGCGGGTCCAGACAAGCTGCCGGGAAGTTTACGTAGTAAAGGTGTGCCGTCAAAAACCGTTCTACAATCATGACCTGCAGTGTTTTTTGCCAGATTAGATGATTAGTTACAGTTGCTAGTGTGTCACTTGGGATGCGCCTCTCGTCTTTCTGGTCTCCAACTGTCCTTCATATTTAATGCCGCGATGATCATGCACAACGCAATCTTGCAAGTTTTAGAGACCATGCGTTGCAACATGAATGTCGTCACGCAGAGGGGTACGTCTCAGTCACAACAGAAGCTGCCCCAGCTCGATAGCAGCCCCACTCTGTGAGCAATCTTGCCACTGTTTGGGACTTGCTGAAGATGCTTAGGTAATTCAGACCGGTGACTGCTACAGGTATGCTCCAAAGGAGCCCAACCTGTACATCCTCCCATCAGGAGTTGAAGGCAGCATGCTCAACATCTGTCGTAAGACTTTACAATGCCCTAATCACTATTCCTATACAGAACTAGCATTGGCTATCTGCTCCACCCCGTGGTGTCTCCAGGCCTTCTGTCGCCTAAGGTGATGGTTGGCCAAGCTGCCGATTAGTTGATGCCGGTCAGCCGGTATGTTTGTGCAAGAAAAGCGTCTGTGGTGTCAGTTGGTATTTCGCAGAGCCGCCCGCTGCCCTGCCCCCTGCGCCACATCCCTTGTGGGCTGTTTAGTCGCGCTCGTGTGCTCCATGGATGAGAGATCCAAGTTCGTGCTGTGACTGCGGTTCCACATCGAGTTTGCCCAAGGCGGCTTCTGAGGCTGACAGGTATCTGTCGTGACGGCGTGATCGGACCGAGCATCCCAATGTCCACACAGATGCCGTCTTCCAGCAGTGGCGCCTGATGCATTGTGACAGAGTCCAGGGAAGGGAACCAAGGCTTGTTATAAAAGGGTTGTCGAAGGGTTGGTTTGGCTCTGCAGTCTCCTGCTAATTGCTTTTTTAGCTTCTTTTTGATGCAGTGTTTTTGCCGCTTGCTTTTTGCTTCTTGCTCTCCTTCTGTTGGAGTATTTCCTGCCATTTTTTTGCTACTCCTTTGTTGCTCTTGCCTTTCCTGCTTTTTGCCTTTGCTCCTGCTCTGCTTGTTTGTTTTTCTGCTTTTGCATTTCTCGCTCTTTGAGTTTCGCTCCGTGGAGTAGCTTTCCGCCGGAGAACAGCAGAAACCCAACATGTCAAACCACCGAGCCCGAGTAACGTGCAGGGTGTAGGCGGTGTAGGGTTTAGTTAGCGAGCGCTTGAAACACGAAGCTAAGCTGTTTGAGCTTCTCTGTCTCATAACGCGAAGCTCTGAGGCGCCTCCAAGCCGAGCTTGCCGTCCGGCCGTGGTGCACAAGGACTCCGCGCCTATGCGCTACTTTCTGTCAGAATTCAAGAGTTGGAGTGGTGAGGCACGGCGAAAGGGAAGCTGAAATGCAGCACAGGAATCGACTTCCTCGGCTCTGGCTCAGTCAGCATCCCAAGACCCAAGCGCCGGCCCTTCCTCGCAATGTTCGGCACCGGAGTAGCTGCCGGACATCCAAACATGCAGGTGGGACAGTATGCGACAGTACGAAAGGGGCGACGATTGGCAGAGAGTCTGTGTGTACGTGTGCGTACGCGCTGCAGGCACATCTGAACCAGGCCCTTGCCAAGCACAATCCGAACTACAAAGCGCTGTACGTGTCGTGGAACGACAACCAGCGCCAACAGGGCTCATGTTTCGGCAGCAACATCACAGACGCACGCCTCAAGGGGAAGGCATCGGGACTTGTGAAAGCCTTGTTCAAGAGGCCGTACAATAGGAGACCGCTCAGTCCTCTGCGCACCCCTACAGGATGGAGAGGACTTTCTGGTGCCTGGCTTGCAGCAAACGCGACGCAGCCCGTTGTATCCTCAGCATGCCCGGGCATCAGTGTGGTTGATGGTCTAGATTGACCGAGGTGGTGCGGCCAAAGAACTTCAACGAGCGAATCGGTAGAGTAAAAGCGGCTGATGTGGCGCTTCTGGTAGGCAGCGGAACAAGCCTCCGGCCCGTCACGTTAGAGGAGTACCTGCGAGATTTCCATTCCCACGCTGCGTACGCTGGTTCGGTTCCTGCTGGCACCTCGCTTCTATCGGCAACGCGTGATCAAAGTGTTGGCATCCGGTTCCAGGCCGTATTCCTTCCAGTCGCTAGCCATTCATCAATCTTCGGGACCACTGGACCGAAGGCCAAAGAGTTCTATCCCGACACCTACAACTACCAAACGAAGAGTTGGGAGGATCCACGGAACTTGGTGCTTCTTTGCACTTCTCAGGGCACTTTCGTGCAGCAGGATGGGCCAGGGAGTGTGCCCCAGTTTTTGCACAGCTCCGAACTGGGAGGGTGGCGCAAGAAGTACCTGGAGGCCGCGGTGACGCGGCATGGGGTCACCATGGGACAAACTGAGACCGCAGAAGAGAGGGCAGAGGCCTTGCGCCAGGGCAAAGCAGCATCCACGGTTATTGGGACTAGGGCGATGGGAACGGGCTTCAACCGCCTCATGACGGTTCAGATCCCGATGAAGCAACAGAGAACTTTCGGCGCCAATCTTTTCGGAGGACCGTCCCCCACTGCATGGGCTCCCACGTTCCCAAGCTCCACGCCAGGCAGTTGCTTCGGTGGCCCAGCGCCAGCGTGGGGCTTGGGTGGCATGGGCTGTGGACTGGCAGCACCCGGATGCGGAGCTCCAGCTCCTATGGCCTTCGGAGATGCGATGGGCGCTCCTTTCGGTGGCGCATCTTGCCAAGCCTTCGGAAGTTCAAACTCTGCGTGCCAAGCACAGGCTGCTCAGTGCGACAACCTGCTCTTAAAATCGCTCTCACTCGCGACGGGATCTGCTTCTGCGCATGCCGCTCGCGTGTCGACTGGCTCCGATGCGGGACCCATGGACCGGCTGCGCATGGAGCGCTTCGAGAGGGACGAGGGGTGTTCGGTGACCATCACCGTACAGTTCTATTTCGTCGTGAGGGAAGGCCGTGGCATCGATGAGTCGGATATCAGGCGTGCAGTGGACATCTGTGAGGAAGCTTACAAAGGATGCTCCTGGGAAGGCAATCTCATGGATGCAGGCTTCCAGTCTGCTTTTGCCAAGAAGGACATGACGCCAAGTGATGCACTGAAGCTCTTGAGTCCGCCGTCTTCTGTGCTGGTGTTCCCCGGCAGCAACTCTCTTGTTCCAAAGCCTACCTGGTCGCAGCCGCCATGTCCTTCAGCGCCATCGAAGTGCTTCGATCCCCTCGCTGGTTTGGACCAAGATCTCAAAGCTTTGCTCTGCAAAGTGCCGTTGACACAGGAAGGATACGGCTGGCTGCATGGCACAGCTTTGAGCCTAAGCGGCATTCGTTGCAGCGTAGGCTTGGAATGGGTGACTTTTTGATCCGTCTTCCTTAACCCAACTATTGTCCTGCAAGGAGCCTGCTGGAGCAGAAGCAGCAGCTAGATGCTGCATTCCACATCTTCCGTCTTGCGAACGATCTGCACCTGCAGATCCACGGGCTGCCGGATGGCCATTCCCTTTACAACATGGCGTGTTGTCAGGTGCCAAGCAGGTAAGATTTTCATACCCTCTGTCGTTAGACATTCGTATGTTGTTGCCTGCCTACTCGATTTTATCATCGTCACAGTCTTTCATGTGGCACAGGCCGTGGTGGTGTCCCTCCAGATCCAGCAATACTGCAGCGCCTGTCCAGGAGCCTTCAACCTGGCGAGCTGCTTGCAGGCCCCGGAAATGGCAGGCCACTGCGCTGCGTACTGTACTGTGAGTGATATGAGTAGAACAGAAAATGCATCTTGCGCCTCATGACACATCCGAAGCAGAAGACAGGTGGCGTGGTGGCACCGCATCTCCCACCCAAACACACCTCCGGAGCCTCTGTGGCCATGCTGTGCGACTCTGCCTGCATATCCATGTCCTGGACTCCACGCCATCTCAAGCGACCGCCCGGATACGAGAGACTAGCAGGGAAAGTTTACCGTAAGGTCTCTGCTGTCCGCTGCACATGCCACTGACTGTGGCTTCCTCTGGGAGTGCACGTCAGGCGATGCCCGCCTTGACGCTGCCGTGGGATTGCTCTCCAGCGCCATTGGGGCTGGCTGGAGGCAGCATGCTCACATGGCCACTGCGGCGGACTCGGAGGTGTGAACCGTGAACGCTCTTTCGTGTTCAGTCTCGCACAGCTTGAACTGAGGATCCAGATCTGCAGTCGCTTAGAGAGATTCGCAAGCCGCGCTTTGATGTTCTGGTGAAGCTTGCGCAGAGCACGGCGCAGGCCTTCGCATAGCTCTGTTTAGCTCCCGGGATGCGACTGACTGGCGAAGACGTCGTCAGCTGACCCAGCCTTCCCCCCCCCACTCAGAATGCTGAATGGCAGAATGTGCAGATCTCAGCCGCCTGCTGGGCTGTGTCATCCTCGCAGAGGTGTACAGGACGCAGTCTGGGATTTGATCTTGTTCAGCACGTGCGAAAAGTCGCAGGCCGTGTGTGCGGCGCGGACCAGCAGGGCCACACGGAAGGTTCATGGCTCGCAGACGTTCGGCTCTTGCCGGTGTGACATACGGAGTAGCCCTCCCAGCAGGTGGTGCCATGGCGACTTGGGCGACTCGCTGCTTGGTAGCGCACGCGCTGAGTCTATGGTGCGTGTGCTTTGCGGACATAGCTGCCGAGAGCGCTGGAAGGTTCGCGAACGATGAACAGTATAATTTTAACGCTACGCCGCCCGCCTCGGCCCCTCAGGTGCAGGTTCTGTATCACTCAGGAAATCTGTTCAGGTCACGGCTATATTGAGAAATTTTTTCTAGCAGGACTCCCACGATTCAACAGGTGGCGGGGAGGGGGGACCAGGGGGAGGGGGTCAAAGGAGGGGGAGGGGGGGGGCAAGCCGAAAAAACAGCAGGGAAAGAGGGGTCAGGGGGGGGGAAAAGGCCGAACAATCAGGTAAAATGAAGGGCAGCCGGGCCAAGCATTGGCAAATGAATGCAAAAAAGGGGGTTTCTCGAAACTTTCGGACTCCCCCAAGACGCCTGGGCCTGTGGCCTCGGTGCATTAGCATGTTCTTGTCTGCTCTGATGAGCTGCCAGTGAAGGCAACAGCCTCTTGCACTTTGGGCGACGGTGGAGCACAACTCCTCTGCAGAGGCCTAGGAACTGCGCGGGTTCCAAGACAGTTAGCAGGATTTCGGACAGCTTGGGTTGCATTCTTGCAGCTTCAGAGTTTGCCTTTTGAAGCAGGCAGCTCCGACTTATGCATCCATGGCTGGAAACGATCCTGCTTCTGGCAAAGATGCTCGGATGAAGTTGGTGTTACATTGCTCTGTGTTGTGAAATCTCATGTTGAGAGCCTCGTCCACTAAGCGACTTCCACTGGGTTGTTTCAGGGACTGGCCAAGCTCTGCCGAGGACTGGAAATCTAAGCCCAAGCAGCAGGTGAAAGCGTGGAACAACAGCATGCAGCACACGTATCATACCTACATTCCTGGGAAGTATCAGGCTTTTCCATCCAAAGTTGCCAGTATCCGTGCCGACACGGCTGGGTCAACGAAGGAGCAGAGCTTCCACGACTACTCCAGGTCTTATGGAGGGCTTGGCCAGATGGGCGTGCAACAAGCCAAACACGCAAAGCACGGTCATAGTGACAGGGATGCAGATTCCAGCGATGCAAGCCACAAGGGCCACGAAGATTCCGACGACTATCAGCACTTTATGCCAGACTTTTCAGCTCACGGGAAGGGGTCTGGCGGCGACGAACAGCCTTCGAGAGATCATCTTGACATGCATGAGGATTACAAGAAGTACATGGATAGCTACAACACGCATGGGCCCAGCAACAAGTATGTGCCTGATTTGGATGAGCTGCGGGAAGATGAGCGCTCCGATTTCATCCCTTCCGGTTCTGGAGAGCCAGCAGCATCTCCCAGCCGATTCCTGTTTACAGAAGCAGAGCCACTTTGGACTTAAGCTCGAGTAGACGGTAGTCTTAGTAGTCCAATCCAGAGAGATATCTGTCGAAAAGATGTCACATGCGTTTTCAGGCAACTCCCGGCTACGATCTGGAGCTGACGATGCTGGCGAGGACACATCCAAGACTGGCCAGGCCGATAGATGGTCACTGGGCAGCTACATGATGCTCGGCTTCATGTTTCCAGACATTGGTTTGTTATGCTTCTAGCCGAGAAGCATGTAGCCCGTTCTGCACCAGTCTGGGAAATTCCAAGGCATAGGACTGGCTGGAAGAAGCAGCTTTCCGGAGTCATCCCGTCCTTTGTGCCAGGGGAGTTTGCCTCAGCTCAGCCGCTGCTTGGTCGAAGCTAAAATTTTTACTCTGAATGAATATTATGCAAACAATCTGATTCTACGTTGGTGCAACCACAACGGGCTGAGCGCTTCCAGGGCGCCGGCTGCTGCATCCTCGAAGTTTTTGGCACGTGCGAGCGTCGGCAACGACGCGGCTGAGGATGGGGTCTCCGCTCCCACTTGCTCAACCCAGGGTCCCGCACACAAATCGCCCCTGGAGGACTCGGCCGATTGGTGGCAGCTTCCAGTGGTGCCGCTTGCCAGAAAGCTAGACTGCTGGACGGCTAGACTTGACGTTTCAACAGAGAGCTGCTTTCTGAGGATATTCGCTGCATTGGCCTTTGCGACGCTTGTGCTGGGCTCGGCATGTGCTGCTCTTTTGCCAGCTGAGCTTCTGCGTTGGTTGCACCGGATACTGAGGTCAAGGCTTCTACCAGAAGGCGAGGCCGTGTCTTGAGCCCTGAGCTTCCATGGGATGTCTCGTGCTCTTTGATTGCAACAGGACCATTACCCCTCCGGAGCACCTGCTTGGTTGATGTGCCCTTGGCTGGCACACTATCCCTGCCCCTCCCAAGCCTCGAGATTCCGCGGGATTACACGGCCTTGCGCTTCGCATATCGCGGAGTGAACTTGTATATACAACGTTTTGCCTAGGAAATTAGATGCCAGTATGCCACAAGCATTTAAAGTCTTTTGCACAAGAGTGGGTACCTCGTACCGCACTCTTCGCCGGATTTTTGTCTGGCTTGAACTCTCGACTTGCTCACAGCAGTCTGGCTGTCACCGCAGGAATGTGACAGAGTAGCGTCGGAGCAGCACAGGCACCTCGTTACTCGTCCCGTCTGAGCCTTTGATGTTCTGGTGACCTTCGACTCGATTAGGATTGTCTTCATCAGAGCATCTCGAAGAGCTCCCTCTTGACCGGAGTGCGCTTACAAAGCTGCGCACTCCGTGCTATCTCAGCCCATTAGATGGCCCTTAGATGCTTCTTCATGTGAAGCCTCGATTCATAGTGAAGGACGATGCCACGACCTTCATCCTGCTTCGGTTCTGCATTCGCAAGTTCGCTTCCCGGGCATCTCAAAGCTAGGGTCTGCAACCGACAACCAGGGACAGTCAGTTGCCCTTGTACAGATCACTGACAGAAGGAATGGCCATTCGAGACGTGCGCTGCAGAAAAGCAAGTCTCCGCTCGGATTGTTTCGGTTTTGATGTAGACAGGGTAACTTCCGACCCATTGTGCCGACGCGACAGGAGTGGAAGAGGCCGCGGCAAGGTGCACGTGCTGCAAATAGTGCAGCAGATGCACCGGCAGCATCTCAGGCAAGTCTTGCAGGCTGGGCCACGCATAAGTTTGGTTGGACGGTTAGACATGTCAACTTTGCTACGACATGTAGGCCGCAGTCCACGACTAAAGGTTTTGAGTCAGTGACAGTCGGCACGGCCTTTGCTTGGTAGGCTTGCTTGCTGATTTCCGACCTGAGCGCCGTTCTTGAAGATCTGCACCAGCTGCTGGCCATGGGGGCGGGCTCCCAAGTGCGGGGCTCTGAGAAGATCTTCGGTGTTCTGAGATCGAGTGTGAGGTCCGCCTCAAGGACGTCCTAGAGCAAACGCCCGGAGCTCCAGCCCTCGAGTGAATCGAAGCGCTTGAGGTCACAGTGGTAGCAAATCATGCTTGTATGCTGCAGCGGCCGGTCTTGTTCTCTGTCTTTGGCTATATCTCCAAGGCGTCTTGCTTGCCACAAGGCTTCAGCAGCTTCAGGCCCTCGAGTCAGCAGCGCTGCAGAACAGAACAGTGTCGACCAAATCTCCACTCCAGCCATCGCTTGTCTGCTCTGAGAGCAGGCGCCATCCCGCAGAAGTCGATGCCGTTGAGCAGGCTGCCTCGGTTGCACAGACTTCTCGAGTGGCGATCAGGTGTAGTTTTTGGCCGTTCCCGTCTCCACAGGCGCTGCATGCTTGTGAGCCCCTGGATCGAGAGTCCTGGTAGAGCTTTGTTTCAAGTTGCGGGCGTTGCCCAAAGGCACGCTCAAAATGAGCGCAGCAGAGATATCGAACATGTTCGATGCATTGAGGGACATGGTGGTTTCGACCCTTGTTGCCGAGCAGGACCAACGAAGCCTGCTTTTGAAGCAGCAACAGGACCAAGATGTCCTAATCCAAGAGCTGCAAGAGAAAGTTTGCCTTCTGGAAGAGGCACTCTCGGAGATGGCGAGCGAGTTCCAGCTGGTCCGTCAGCAGCTCGCTGAGCAGGAGAAGCAGGACAATGCAGCAGACGCTGCCGTGGAATGGAAAGCTGTGAGAAGCAGCGTGGCAAGATTTGTGCGGTCCTCGTGGTACAGCAAGGCCGCAGAGAAAGAGCAGCAGGAGCTTCCGAAAGAGGCTGGCGAGCTGAACTGTACCTTGCTAACCAGCCGCGCACGAGAGCCAGAGGCATCCCAGCAATGGAAGCCGGAGCCTCCGGGCAAAAGTGTGTCTCACACACAAGAAGATACAAACCAGACAGTGGCAGTGAGCCCACCACAAGAACAACAGATTCCCCAGCAATGCAAGCCCCAGCCCCAGCCTCCAGCAACTCGCCGTACGTGGAAGTGCGTGTGGAGGCGGGGCATGGACGTGAGAACCTGGCCACAAACGGCAAGACAGAATATCGTCGGCTACCTCAACTTTGGTGAAATCTTCGAGGTAGCGGAAGAGCGCCGGTTCCGAGACGGAAGTGAAGGTGTCTTCCTGCGACTGGCGAACAGGAAGGGCTGGGTCTTTTCAAAGACTCGGTCGGGCACTTTTTGCATGCCAGTTCACGAGAGTAATCGGCAGGACTGGAGTTACCCCACGCCACAAGCATCGCATGAAGCCTGGACCTGGGACAACCGCCCGACGGAGCACCAGAGTGACCGGACCTCGGCATGGCAGGAGATGTCAGACTACTCCGATTCATTTACTTCTACATCGCGCTGGCCTGCTGATGCCAAGTCGTGGGATTCGTGGGCATGGCGCAAGGACGAGCACTGGAAGACGGCTCCCAACGATTGGCGCTATGAGGCTAGCGGCTACTAGCGAGGAATTCACAGACTGTGCCAATTCCAAGATGGGCACACGGCCAGTCTAGCATGAATGTACTGACTTGACCCTTTAGTCGGGGACATGCTGAAGCTCCAAGACTTAGTTTGCCTGTTGAAAGCTGTATCATCAGACCTACGTACCTTCTGTACATACAGACTTAGTTTCTGAACCTTTGAAGACCTTGAGTAAGACAGCGCGTTTGTGAAGAGCTGCAGGAGTCCCCAGGTTTTGCGAGAGATTTCGTGCGAGGATGGAGCGTAGCTTTTGCGTCGTGCCTGCCTCTGGAGGCGCACAAGCTTCTGCTGCCGCCTCCTCAATGTCCCCAAGTCACGAAGGTCACGAAGGCTTGCTTTGTGGAGCTTGCGGGGGTTGTCGTTACCAGTAACCTGAGTACAGTTGTAATTTAAGCATACAGGCTTTGTCTGCGCCCAGCCGTCGCAAGACGGGCAAAAGAGCTTGTCTACACTGCAGCTTCAGTCTAGAGCCAGCGCCAGGAGCATCGGAATCGCGGTACAGAGGGTACCGAAGTGCATACTCCTGCACATCACCACGGATGTCGCCAGGGGCTGAGTTTAGCTGCGCTTCAGATTGGGCGTAGCCTTCACCTTGCAATGGACGCCTCGCCTCGCCTTGCTGCTTTGCCCCCGCTGTCGGCTCGAGTTTGTCCCAGATTAGCCAAGTGACGCTCAGCTCATCTCTGCCTCGACACCATGGCCGACTTGACCTCTGTGGCAGCTCCCCCAAGCCCTGCCAAGGTGGACGGCAATGCTATCGTGGACGACCCGAAGGCCTACAACACCGAGAAGGCCACCGTGAAGTCCGAGAAGCCCGCAGCCGAAACGGCCGTGGAGCGGGAGCCCAGTGGCATTATCCTCTTCTGGCTTTGCTGCGTCAGTGCCTTGGAGGGCTTGGACACCCAGCTCGTCCCAGCGTGCCAGTTCGCGTTGCAGAGAGATCTTGGACTCAGCCTTGGGCACTTTGCCATCTTGACCACGGTGCAGATGGTGCTCACCAACCTCGCAGCACCCTTCTGGGGAATCCTGGCCGATCGCGGAACTATGAAGAAGAAGCACATCTTGTTCGTCGGCGCATTGGGCGAGGGCCTCGCGGTCGCCATCTTTGCCTTCGTCCCCAACTTCTTTGTCATGGTCCTCCTGCGCGGCATGAGCGGCTTCTTCTTGGCCTCGCTGCGACCGGTCTGCAACGGGCCCGGGCCTCGGCGTGGAGCGTGTAGGCAGCGTGGGCCGTAGGTGGACTCGAACTTTTGAAGCTTTCTCTTCATGCCTCTTCCTTCCTCTTCCCTGTCCTGTGCAGGCTCATCGCGGATCTCACCTCCGACAATCGTCGTGGCAAGATCTTCGGCCGGGTTCAGAGTGCGCTCCTCTTCGGCATGTTCTGCTCTCTCCTCATCGCGGGCAACGTGGCCAACCCGTACGTGGGTGAAATCCCCGGCTGGCGTTTCCTCTTTGCCGGTGCAGGCCTTGTGGCCTTCTGCGTGGCTGCTGGTGTCGCTGGCTTCCTTGTGGAGCCACCGCACCAGCTGGATGCCGCTTCGGACAAGAAGGGCTGTGCGGCTGTGCTCTCAGAGCTGAAGACGGTCTTCAACTTCCTCTGCATCCCCACTTTTTGCGTCATGATCATGCAGGGTGTCTTTGGCACCATCCCTTGGAGCGTCATGGGGAACAATTTGCTCTACTTCAAGCTTTGCGGCCTTGAGGACTGGGAGGCGAGCATCCTGGCCTCGGAGGGCACTGTCATGGGAATGTTCGGTAACATCATCGGAGGTATGGTTGCTGATGCCCTGGCCCGGCGCTTTGGCTACCACGGCCGCCCCCTGAGCGCACAGATTACCGTGGCCATTGGCATTCCCCTCGTCTTCCTGCAGTTCTACGGGATCCCTGCTGGTTCGGGAAGCTTCGGGACCTACTTCGCCCTCATCGCTGGCTTCGGCGTCTTGGGATCTTGGGCCCAGTCTGGAACCAACTTCCCCATCCTCTCCGACATCGTCCCCGCCAGTGATCGCAGCAAAGTCATGGCTTGGGAGTGTGCAGTGCTCGGATATTGGAAGCAGCCTGCCCTCCTCTGACACTCCCTCCAGTTCTCCGGTCCTTTCCTGAGGTGCCATGGAAAACTCATTGGCCAATGCCATCGGCCCAGCCATGGTGTCCACCTTGGCCACCGGGGTGCCCAGGCAGAAAATCTTGAGAAAGCACGACGGATCCGGAGAGAGGGAAGTTCTCTGTACTGTGTGACGACTTCCTGGAGACTCATGAAATCGAAGAGGGCCAAGACCAAGACTAGACTCGGGGGGTGGGGGGGGGTTGGGCTTCTCGTGCTTGCCGAGGTCTTTGGTTACAAGTTTGGTGAGGAGGAGAAGAGCGGAAAGTCGCTTCACTCTGCGACAGCTCTGGGAAGTGTCCGTGCGCCCAGCTGGCGGCACGCTCTGTGCCAGCGGGGTGTGAGGAGTCCCCAGCCTGAGAGGGGCCGGATTCTTGCTGAGGCGATGGCGGCCACCATTTGCATTCCTTGGCTAATCACCCTGGCAGCGGCTCGGCTCGGAGTGAGGTGATTCAGCAAAAGCCCAGTCGAATGCTTCATGAGGCCTACACCCTGCTCCACTGGAGTTATCCTCGAGACATGCGCCGCCTCCGTGCAAAGCAGCAGGCGGCCACCGAGGCCCAGGCCGGCTGGGCCCCGGCGGGCCCCGGGGCGCAGGCGCTTCGAAGCGGGTCCTAACTGCGGAAGATTTCCCAGGTGTAGGCTGCCCCGACGGTGCGACCGACCACCCAGGTTGCTGCCCTCGGAGAGGCCGGAAATGCAGAGTTGCGGACTCTCTTCCTCTGGTGAAACCTCCGAGGTTTTCCCTTTGGGTGGGGGGGCCACCACAGTGCTTTAAAGGCGTGCTCAAGGCCAGGGCCTCAGGGCGGTGATCTCGCTCAAATCTTCAATCTCTGTGACGAGGCATGTCCACTGATGGGCGGGGAATTTAGTAGCAGCCGGCATTCAAGCGATGCAAAAGCGTAAAGCTAGCAGTGGTATGATCTTCAGCAGTGATATGATTTTGGGCCAAGGCTTTTGTTTTGGATCGCTTTGCACTCTGGCTGGCTTTGCAAGGAACTTGACGCAGGCCTAGGCATCTTTTTGAAGATGCCTCCTAGCGTAAACTTGACTTCATGGGCACGCTTGATGTGCCCTTAAAGTTGAATTCGCCTTTTTGTCCAAAGGTGTGCTTGCAATAGCATGACTGCCTCTCGACGCAGCCACACAGGCGAGAGCGTCTATAGTGGGTCAGCCTCTTGACGACGCTGTGACCCTCTGAATCTAGGTCTGCTCATGGTACCACCCGAGTTCTGTGGGGGAGGAGGTTACGGGTTGGACTGCGAAGTGTGACGAGTCACGAGCTGCAACCTCGCTGCTTCCAGAGACCTCGCCTGGTCTCCATGATTTCTGCTGAGCGGCCTGTAGCCCACAAGCGGGACTCCACGGCCCCCAGTCTCAGTTTGAAAGTTCCTCTTCCAGACTGTAAAGGTACAAGCTGGAAGTCGCAGAACAGATAAAGACACTTGTGCCGTTCGAGTTTGCTCGGGATGATTTGCGAGGGATGGACTGCTTGTTCTTGTCCTTGGCGCTCAGGTCCTGCCACCGCTGCGAGTGGACGTGCGAGAGGACGTGAAGCCGAGCATCCTCGGATCGTGAGCTGAGCAGTGCCGGCACTGCGCCGTGCTCGCACTTGTCGCAGTTCTGGCAAAAAGGGCTTCTTTGCAACTTTGCTGCGATGTGACGATGTGAAATGAGCATCACGTCAGCTCGAAAACAAGCACTGCTGGTTCTGATGGGAGTTTGTGCACACTCGCGACATCCTAGTCATCTCGCCATGGGCTTTCTGTGAGTGGCTCACCTCTGCTCGAGTTGACGCACGCTGGTGCAGGTGGACATGGATGTTGGGGGCGGCGTCATCGTCCCCTTCACTGTGGCGGAGGACACAGACTTGGAGGCAGTCCGTCTAAGCATGGCACGCGACATGTGAACAGCACAGCAGGACGTCTTTATCCAGGACTCTCGTCCTCACCCTCACCACACCCTCACCCTCACTCTCATCCTCACTCTCACTCTCATCCTCATTATCACGCAATGAAGATCTTTTTCCGCACTTGTCCTTCTGGATCTGAATGGATTGCACACATCTCTGCATCTTCCTCAATCGTGTGCGCCTCTTGCGTTAACCCTGATGGTCTTGGATTATCCAACACTTATCCCAGAGTTGAAACCGAGCTTTGAGAACGCGGTGCAGGCTGTCACCGCAGAAGTCGTGCCAGCATCCTACTACGACACGCTTGCAAGCTTCGAGTACCAACTGCGGGTCACAAAACGGGACAGGGACAGTGCCCGAGGCAGTTGCACGGCCTCAGCAGCATCGAGCACCGCCGCATTGTGCGGTACCTGCAACAAGTGAGGGCCCACGTTGTTGCAGGAGCAAAAACAAGCGCACAATCGCAGATGTCCGAGATGTCGTTATGGACTTGTGGATCCAAGTAGTCATGTCATGCAGTCGTGGTGACGATGGGGTGAGTTCTTCTCGTAGACTCGGCTCAAACGGGGAGTGACCGCGCCTCCCTCATGTGGGCTGAGGCCGCAGCAAAGATGTCCACGTGAAGTCTGAGAGACACTTGATGTGCGAGCATGACAGGGCGATCTCGGCTTGGAGGCCAAGGCTTGTGGCCCGGAAACGCGTCCTTTCGAAGCTCGAAACAGAATCGAGCACTGAGCTTTAAGGCGCCGAGAATGCGACCGCGCAGGGCGCTGAGCCAGGGGCCGAGAATCCGCCGAGCCGAGGTTCCAAAAAGGGGATTCCAGGCCCCGGGCATGGGAGCTACGGAGCAGTCTTGGGCCCCTTGCCCAAGGCCTCGCCTCCCTTGCGGCGCTCCTCGGCGCCTTCCTGGCCGGCTCGCTGCTTGCTAGCGCTGGCCGTGGCCCAAGTGCAGCAACTGAAGAGAGTATACAGTATACACTGTGGAACATGTGTAGAAGGTGAGAAACAAGAAGCCACATAGGCTTCAGAAAGCATGCAAAGCATGCAAATACTCGCTGATACGGTCTGATTCAGTTCTTTGTTTCTCCGTGATGGCTGCAAAAACGACATGAACCCAAGGTTTCGAGCATGTTTTCATGTCAATGTGCAACTCAAGAGTACACAAGTCCTTCCGGAGAGGCCAACTGGGCCGAAGACACCATTACCAGGTTCTGAACATCATTGCTCTGGTTTATGCATTTTGCGTAGTGGAAAGGCTGAGAACAAGCTTAGATAATCGTGTCAGATAGCTCTTCGTAGAGACCACAAACACAAGATATTCAATCAATTCATTCTTGAACGAGCAACCTATTGCCCTATACTATGGCCCATAGAAAGAAGAGGCCTAGCTTGATACACGACGGCAAGATGGTTTCCTATGCTGTGTAATTGCTTTGACAAGACATTGGGCCATAGTCCTGCGGCTTGGCGCAGTTTCCCTGGCTCTCCGTTTTGGGCATTCTCGCTCTCAAACTCGGATAAGTTCGAGATGCTACTTGTGCCGTATTGTGCATGTATTGATAACGGTTTGTCGGTCACGGCGGTATGATTGCCCGAAGATGACAGAGCCCCCCCTCGCTGGCCTCAGGCGATGCTTTCGCCAGCACCATCAATCAGAAATACACAGCACAGGGAAAGTACATCCCGAAGAAGTACAGAAGGTGGAAACCCACCGTGGTGCTGCTGCAGGCCAGCCGGCCTTTCGCTCAGACATCGCCTTTTGTTGGTTCTCTGAGCAGGACCATCCCAAGCTTGGCAAGAAGGGCGACGTTGTGACGGTCGCGGGCCGATTTTTGCTGAAGGCCAGGTCGTGACGGTGCCAGCTGGAAGGTGAAGAAGGGCTACTACCGCAACATCCTCTATCCCGAGGGTGTAGCCAAGAGGCAGGATGCCAGCATCATGAATCAGCCGGGTGCCTAGCATCTGGGGTTGCCAGAATGTGCAGAATGTGCGGTCTACAGGCATCTGCAAGAGCGCAAAATGACTTCTCAAAACTTCCAGGCTCGAACGCGAGGCCAGGGAGAAAAGCAAGGAGGCAGCACAGGAGCCCGGAACCCGGAGAGAGTCGCAGCACTCCTGCTCTGAAGAAATGCAAGTAGCTGCCTGGACAGGCTTCCGTTTGTCTGCCCCTTGTTTTAGTTCCCCCGCCCATGAAACCTTAGGCTGAAGGCGGCCTGTTACTCTTCTCCTCTCTTACCCTGCCAGCCTGCATTTTCACGGTCGTGTGTGGCAGTGAAGACAGGTTGGCGGAGGCTATGAAGAGGAAGGAAGCCGTCGAGAAGCACGGGCCGTGCGGCTCTCTGTTCATGCTCTGTTTCCTTCAGCGGGTTCTTCTCGAAATACGTCCGCTGATCATTTCCACTGTTGCAGCACGGCATGAATGTTTGTTTAGTTCACAGGTTCGTCTTTGAGAAGAAGGTTCGCGAGGACAGGGAAAATATCTATGGGTCCCTCTCGCAGATCAACGTTGCCGAGGACCGGATGCCAGCAGTCTGCAGTTTCTTCTTTGGCCAGGTTTTTGCGCTTCTTGTCCCTCCGCCCCTCCGCACTGAAATCAGGAGATAGTGAAGGCCACAGCTGTTCCTGTGCGCCAAGTCTCTGTGCAGATCCCCAAGGCCCACTTCCGGTCAGGGATCAACCATCTGAGAGCAGCCCCTTACAGTCGGGATTCTTAGAGCGGTTTGGGTTTCTGGCCCTTCTGTGCAGATCACGAAAGTCGGCACCTACCGTGGCACCATCGAATTCCTCCCCGAAGTCATTGCGGTTCTCGAGATCAAGGCCGGCCTTGCCGCGGGGCCCTAGGGCGATGCGACTCTTCTCCTTTCTGCAGGTGGTCCCCGAAGGCTACCAAGAGGAAGGGGAAGAGGGCGAGGAGGGTGAAGAGGAGGCAGCAGCATGACGTCCGGAACAGAGTTTTCATGCAAATGTGTGTTTTCTTGGCTCTGGCAGGAGGCGTCCGAATAGAGGGCTGCGGGCCTGGGGCTTTGCTTGCAGCGATTCAAGAGCAGTCGGGAGTCTTCGAGTGTGTGCTCCACTGCGAGAGCTTCGGGATTGGATCCAACTGGTGGGCAGAGGTTCAGCTTGGGGCGAGCAGCTGTGAGTAGTTTGAGAGTTTTCCATGACATGAGCTTCTCTATGACACCTAGTTCTCATGGTGGTACTGGTAGGAGAGTTTCTGCAGTTCTCCGCGCAAATGCGAGGGCTGCAAGCGAGCATCGGGTCCAGCTAAGTCTAAGCCTAGCTTCTCAAGTGGTTTGAGGTTGAAGACAGAGACACTCCTGCTGACAGCTCCCGCGATCCGAGCGAAGAACGCATGAGTTGGGGGCCTGTGCAGGGGGGGAGTTGCAGCTTTGGTGCATCTCCGATTTCGCTGCACTTTTCACACTCCGTGACTCCGAAGCCCAGCAGAGACTTCCCTGGCCTCAGCATCCCAGTAGCCCTCAGAGGGCCTCAGAGGGCCTCAGAAGCCCTCAGCCCTCCGCCGTGGTCGCCGTGGTCGCCGTGGCCATGGCGAGCCCCCTCGGGGGCCCGGAGCAGACCCCCGCCGGGGCCCCCGGGGCCCTTCGTCCAGCGGGGCTTGAGGCCTTGAAAGGGGTAATACCGGGTAATCTCTAGAGGCTATGTGCATTTACTGAGCGCAACCATGCTCAAGCCATTGCAAGTCATCGCGAAACTGTTGGAGAGATCTTCTGCACAAATCGGCGCGAAGTTGTTGGCTGCGTCGCCCAGCAGTGTGTGGAGGTTCCAGATGCGCTGGTGGCAGAGCTTGCCAGGTGGCGGAGGGAGGCAGGCAAGTAAGTCGAGTAATGAACAACGGGGCCGCTCTGCGATTTTCTGAAGTGTAAGCAGAGCAAGGCTAGCCAGAAATATGCGCAAGCCCAAACGGCCTTTTGGTATCTGAAAATTCCGGAAGAGGTGTGTGGTAGCTGCGGGGCCAAAGCGATGTTCTACTGCCCCTTCTGCTGCCAGGAGCTCAGACGAGAAAACTCGCAGACACGCGAAGAAACTCGAGTTCTGTTTTGAGAGCAGTTCCTGCCAGACTTTTCTTCGAGGCACTCCTCTCGGGGTTCCCGAAGGCGTCACCGTTCCGCGCGCCAGGTCGGGTTTTGTTTTGCCTTCGTTGAACAGACAGCGATAAGAAGATCTGTTGCATACTCGAAGTGTCTCTTCTTTGGCATCTTTCCGACACCTTTACCAAGACAACTCGCTGCCAAAATGCGATCGCCTTTTGCAGTCATTGTCTGAGCCTAGAGGCGTCGTGAGTATCTCAACAAAGAGGCTGCCATTCGCGCGGTGTGACATCATCTTCGACGATGCGCCCAAAAAGGCCCTGCTTTCAAGCGACTTTGTGCACGACAGTTTCCAGAATTGCAGAGTGAGGGGAGTTCTCGCAAGGCTACCAGCATTCACGCCAAAGTACTTGCACCAGAACAGGCGCGCTGGGGGCACTCCTGGGTGAGTTACTGTCATCTGGCATTACTTGTAGAAGGGTTTGCGTTCGGCAGGTCCGCCTCATCGACCTCTTCACCACAGAGGCTAACACTAATCGCACCCTGAGCCGACCCGGCGGCGGCTCTGCCACCAAGGCGCTAACTAGGTCAGGTTGACCTTTAGTGACATAGTCATTGAAACTCGAGGCTCTCGTTGAAAAGAAGAAAAATTGCAGCTTGACAGGCAGACTTCGAGGACTCAACAGGAGCGGTATGCGGATCCTCAAACTCGCAGACCGTGATTAGCGGGTGTTTGTTTGAGAGCTTTCCTCCAGCGTCTTGTGAAGGAGTGCCCTCCAATGCCGTGATCAGGGAGATCCCCGAGCCTGGAACCTAGAGGCTCAGACGGTAGGCTCTTGGCGTAGACACCTCTGAGATGCACGATATGTTAGTGGAACCCTTGCGCCCGCCTCAAGAAGAAAAGGGGAGTTGCTGGCTGCTGGCTGAGGTACGACCCTCACATCACACTGGTGCTCTTCCCAGCGCGGTGCCCAAAGCTCTGCGACCCTACTCTGTGCAGTCTTGCGTCGGATCGGGCATGGCGCCTTCAGGACGACAGCAGTGCAACCTTCGAGGAGGCCAGCGATTAGAGTGATTAGAGGGCCCGATGTTGGATGCCCTGTTTGAAGTTTGGTTCGGACTGACTGCGACAGGTGGCTACTGAGCCAGATTTCGGATCACCTGATCGCCTTACACTTGTGCGTCTCCCGGACAGCTTCATGGCTCGTCCATGCCTTTGTGAAGTCTTGCACGAGCATTCAACGGAGCGAGACCAGGTCGTGATCGACTCGCCGTGGAAGCGAGCACAGGCCCGCCGGGTAAGCGATTCCGCCTTCCTGCCAGATGGTCCAATGGTTCTTACATGTTCTTACATTGGTGAAGGTCTTGCGCAAGCACCCTCGGCTGGCCAAGCTGCGATCTGTCTGGCACCAAGTCTGCGAAGTGCGCAATTCGAGATCTCATCTGATGATCGAATGAGCCGTGCAGTAAGCGTAGCAGTAGCAGTACGTCTTTCTGAAGAAGGCATGACACGATCGCTGGCTCTGAGATTCGCCTTGGACATCCTCCGCCTTCTAGATTCTGGCGTTACCACTCGGAGGGCACAGGCCGGCCACTTGCACGTGAAAGCGGGATTCCATACCGTTTCAGCTGCGACGCCTTTTTTGCCCACTGTTGAAATCTCCTCTGCAGGCTGCGTTTCCACCGTGGAGGCCACAAGAAAGTGTTTATAGCATGAACTCGCAGATGTTGCTTTGCGGACCGCGACCACGGCTCATCCACATTTGAGCCTGAAGATCAAACTTCTACCGACTCGTCTTCTGGGCAACTACAGCACTCTGTAGACTCTGTGCTCTGCCGTCCTTGAGTTTCCTGTTGATGCGCCGCAGTCGCAGGCCCTGGCCGCTCTAGCCAAAGAAGTGCTTCCCCGAACCGGGGGAGCCGCAGAGGGCTCGGTTGGGAGGCCCAGTACGGCGATGGCTTGAGGGTCTCGGGCTCGTGGACGCCGCGTAGAAGCCGTCTCCTTGGACTGAGGAGCCTCCTGGATGTGTCCTGCGCTTGGGATCGGACTATTCATCCAGAAGTTCAGAAGGGTAGCCAAGCGGACCTAGCGGCTCGATTAGCATCGCTAAGGACTCCTTCATAGATGATCCATTCCTGTTCTTCTTCGCTCCAGCCTTACTTGCCAAGCGGAACACGTGCAAGTCAAGCTTGCATCGCTGCTGCTGCTGGATTATGCCGGATTCAGGTGCGGCAGTTTGCCTATATCTCGGAGAACAAACGCACAGCAGGTAGGCTGACAGAGAATAGACCGAAAGCTTACCACAGGTTCGTCCTTGGTCACAGGAGCCGGCGAACGCCCCATGGACCCAGCGGCGAAGCAGCGCCGCATGGAGCAGGCGCTTCCACGCGCCATGCGTTCTCTCCATCGCCCGTCGGATGTGCTTGTGGGCCCTCGGGGCCGGTCGAGGTCCGTCAGAAGGAAGCGAAGCGGCTCAAGCTCCGGCCCTTCGGAAGGGGCAGTCCAGTCCCAGCCCAAGATGAGCTGCGAGCTGGGCAGGCTCACGAGAACTCGCCGTGTGAGCCTGAGGTGCATGAGGATGCTGGGGACGCAGCTTCTGGGGAGCTCTCGGAAAAAAGCAGGGAAGTGCGGTCCGCGCTATATTGATCATGGAGGTAGGTAGGTGTGTGGATGCCACTAAGTACATACTGTAAGTCAATACGTATGTACCAAATGAACGTAAGTACGCATGCATGTATGTATGTATGTACGACTCTGCACGTGTATGACCGAATGGCCGTTAGGGCATCTAAAAAGTTAGAAGTGCAAGCAAGTCAGCGAAGAAAAATAATGATGTATACATGCAAAGTGGGTATACTTTGCATATCTTCGCTTGCACAAGCCCGAGTGCCGCGAACATCTCAGAACGAAGCGGGTTCGCGGAGTAATGGTGGGTCTGGGAATTCAGCAAGGGTGCGTTTGCGATTCGCATGGATCGTTTCTGTTTGGAACAGGGCAAATTGTGCGGCTGGTTGTCTGAACTGCTTTACTGTACTTTGCAGCATGCCCTTGTGTAACATGGGTTGAGCTTCGCAGAAGATTCCATTGGGTTGCGAATAGCACCTGGTTCGGTTGGTGATGTGAACGGTTTTCGTGGCTCTCAGCGGTAGCTGTTTCCCCATGGCACTCCCGCTTGATTTCAATGTCAGCCCGACTCGGGCTGCTACTTGCTTGATCGTATGCGGCTGCTACTGTTTGGCCGGTGGCATTTTCTACAGCCTCCTGGAGCCTGAATGGTCCTTCACTGATTGCGTTTACTTCAGCTTTGTCGCTTCGGCCGAATGGAAACCCTGCCACATCCTGCTGCAGCATCCGCGGGTCGTGAAACTTTTTGCATGTTGCAATGACACCGCCAAAGCAAATTTCTAGTCGAATCTCGTCGGTTCCGTAGTTGCCGCAAGAATCGAGAGTGGGGTGTCGAAAACTGCAAGCGTTGCTTGTGACCAGAGCTGACCCGAGGTGACCACCACCACGGTCGGATATGGGTGCTTGGCACCTACATCCACGGAGTCACGTGCCTTCACCATGGTCTATGCCTTCTTCTCGGTGCCCTTCATCACAGGTACCCTCGCGGAGTTTCAACGTGCTTGGCTCTCGCTGTGCTTCAGGCCATGGTGCTGGATGCTCAGCCACTGCCTGCCAACACCGGAGCATGGAGATTGGATCCATATCGAGGAGTCGAATGTGTGGGTCCTGTCTTCGGTTCCTTTCTACTTCTGGGGGATCGTGGAGTTGGCGACGTTCCTGGCCGCCACGGCATCTTTGATGATGCTCGTGATGTGGGCGCTCTTTATTGAAGCACCCGGTGCTTTCGTGAGCAGTCTAGATGCAACAGAGGCCTACGAAATGGGTCTTTTCGACAGCATCTATTACTTCGTGTCGCGGCAGAACGAACAAGTCTTTTGAGTAAGCTGAAAACAGCTCAATGCGTAGCTTGAGTGTTCTGCTATCGTGTGTTTGGAATAATTACTCGAACCACTCCAGAGACTCTAGAGGTCATCACCTCGACAACTGTCGGCTACGGAGACATTTGCCCACGGACGAATTCGGCGAAGATTTGGTCGATCGCTGTTGCCAGCTATGGAATTGGGTTGATCATCATGTGGGCTGACCATATCAACAGATTGAGACAAGCCCGCCGTTTGAGCTTGCGAAAGGCACGGATGTTGCAGCGGGAGCTGGACCCCACCTTGATCGAGGAGTTCGATGTTAGTGGCGATGGGAAAGTCACGGAGCTGGAGTATGTTCTGGCCATGCTGAGGTCACTGGAACTTGTGGACATGGACCACGTCACACCAATTATCGATCGCTTCAAGGAGCTAGACAAGGACGGGAATGGCGTCCTTGACCGTGATGACCTGCAACGCCTTCTGCTGCGACGCTGTGACCAAATCGAGACGCAGCACCGTAGTCGTCCAAGGCAGGTACCGTTGAAAGTTGCTTCGTTCCTCTACCTCAGTGGTCTTGTGATGTCTTGTGTGTTCAGGTTCATGTATCCCGAATTGCAGGCTCCTTCGCTTGAGCAGCCGGGTTGCCGTAAGTGCTGGAACCGCCGTTGGTCACACCTCTGCCGCCTCTGCCTCTAACGGTACGAACGGTACTGCCTGCCCCAGTCGCTTTCACAGCGATGATGCAGATCGACTTTGCGCCGCACGCACCATCTCGACCTTGAGATTTGCAGAGGAAGACGAGGATTTGTATGAAGAAGAGGATGGAGTCACCAATACATACTTGTAGGTGCCTGGAGCTCTGTGCACGAGGTGCTGGATGAAAGAAGCTTCGGGACATCCAAGGAGCGTTCGCAGCGATTGCTAAGGTGACCGTAGGTCGACGAATGTGGATACGAGCGCGTGCCCCTGGGACCAGACAGCACTGCGGTTTGGTGTGGTGAATGTCGACAGCATCTTTCAGACGACTTGCTTTTGGAGACGCGGTCAATGAGATTGTGCCGGCGTGAATGCATAACCTGGTGAGACATTCCGTCCTACTGCAGGAAGCAAAATGTTTGGGAAGCGCTTTTGAGTCCCTGCCAAACCCCTCAGAGCAAGAGCAGACTGCGGCAGCCATGCGCTCATGTGCTCGAGGTTTCTTAGAAACTATTCGAGGCTCCGCAAGATGCCTGGGTAAAGGAGATACGTTCGATGGGCTTGTTTCACTACACTCGCCGATCCCTGGGCCCTGGAATATCAAGATGCCCCCGGAAGGCTCGACACCGGCTCCGTATGAGGTCAAGGGACCTCGAGGAGTTTGGAGGCGAGAAAACACCTCCTCACCGCGACCGCGCGGCGCGGGTGCGATCCAAAAACGCTGTCAGCAGCTCCAGAGCTCGAGGTTCCTTCAGAAATCAAGCTAGGTGACCATGATTGCCTACTGCCTACTCCTCACTCAGAGCCATTGTTGCGAGGCGCTCGGGCACTTGGTCTTCAGGCTTGCTGCGCGTCTGACTCGCACGGCCGCGTACGAACTGTTAAGAACCTCCAAATCTTAGAAACCATTTGGACCACACCCTTTCATGCCACCACCCCGGAACAGCAGGTCGAACTGCTAGGCCTGAGGCTGACATAACCCGAAACATCAAGAGACTAGAAGTTATTATAGCAGTGTGTAGGAGATCGTGAGAGTGGCAACAAGCCTACACATACGGCAGTAAACTCAGTAAACGTGGTTGTGATTCTAGCAGCACCCTCTGCCGGCGGCATCGTCGCCGTCGTGGTGGAGGTGGCGGAGGCATTGGTCGTGGTAGTGGTAGGAGGGGACTAGAGTCGCTCGTTGGCACCCTCATCATGCGGCTCTTGGGGGGGCGCAGGGTTATTCCGGGTCTGCCTCCGTGCATCATTGCTTTGCCAAGTGCAACTACTGACCTGAGTGAACATTTGCATTTTGAACTTCGCACCTGGCCGCTCCCAATTGCATTGCAACAGCACCGCAGTGTCTGAAGGCCATTGGCTCAAAGAACTGTACTTGTACCCAGCAGTGACTGTTTCGTAGCAGATACTTGTCCTGTTAAGGAAGAACAACGCAACGCCAATCTAGTGTCAGTTGAGTCTCTGAAGTTCTATCCCTATGCCAATCTCAAAGCCCGGAGGACTCGCAGGGAACTCTGTTAATTGATGCGGCCCGAGCTGTGGCTCTTTGCCAACCTCTTCTGCCTTGTGGCGCGAGGCTCAGGTGGAACACGCCGAAGCCAAGCTCCCCAAGTCTTCGGAAGCGCCTTCAGAACCCACAACCCTAAACCCCCTAAACCCCTAAGCCCCCTATCCCCTTCTCCCCAGCAAGGCAGCAGCTCCGCTGGGCTTCGAGAATGAGGATGTTAGCGACCTCATCGGGATCGGCGGAAAGGCATCCCGCCTTGCCTCCATGGCCAAGCTGTGTCCGAAGATCCTAGCCCCAGCGCTCCCCATACTCAACGACCTCGGACATGTCCATGGCGATCCATGCTTGTCATCGGCTCCTGTACGGCTCAGCACCAGGCTCAAGAGCAAGCCCGAGCTTCAAACCGCTGTACGAGCCACATCACAACTTTAACAGGATCTCCGGAATTTGTATCTGTGTTGCCTTCCATGGACTTGTGCTGCCGGAGCTCCTGATGCCGAGGCAGGCGTCGTGCGTTTGTTCAGGCAGAGTCTCCGGCCCCGGACATCTAAGTGGAATGTCTCCCAGTCTCGTTGTTATGTCAACAGCCGACCTGAGTCTCAGATGTTAGCTTCGCCGCTGCAAGTGTTGAAGTGACTGTGGCTCCTGGACGGACGCGCTTGCCTTGCAAGCTTAGGAGTGGGACGCAAGCAGCTTTGGGGAGAGTCTATATTTGTGCGTGAAATGCTGACAAACTTGGTCTTGCTCAACTTCCAGGGGTTGATGGCTTGTAGATACAGCCAACCCGGGGCGGAAGTGTGCAGTACCTTTTTGCGTGGATGGTGTAGGAATGATTGGGATCTGTTGGGACGCCTGTTTGATGGTGCGACATGACGGCAACGAGTATCCAGGTAGCCATGCAGCCCCGCTCGCGGGCAGAACGCCATAGAGCTGCGGTCTCAGAAGAATCTTCATGCATGAAGCATCATGGTGATGCAGACTTTGTCACGGTCTTCAATCTGCAAACTCAAACCTGCTGCTTGTTGCCAAAGGATGCGGCAGCTGCCGCCGCGATCAGTGAGGAGGCAGTCCAACAGGCGCGAGGTTCAGGAGTACCGTCTAAGCAACATTTCCCAACAACTGCTAACGAAGAGAGGGAAGAGACTGAGTGACTCGGACAAAATTGATTTAGGGAGGATGCTGGTCTTGAGGACCCAGCCACATAGTAGCAGTTTCTCGTTTCCGAGTCGTTCCTTTGCCAGGAAACAGAAGTATCTAGAGTCTCCATGAATCTTCCATTAGTGTTCAATCTTCTCGTATGTCCTCGCAATTGGTGTTTGGAGTGCAGGTGTCGGGTCAGGATGAAGTTGTGTTTTTGGTCAACTACATGCCAGGAATGGAACTCCCAGCGCGAAGTACGTTTGCAGCAGAGGCCCGGGGTTGGGATTTGGGCTGACCTTGTACCTTGTTTATCGAGCATGGTTTGTTGTTTTGGCCAGATGCTCTGATGCAATTTCTTCCAGAAGCCTTCTTCTTGCCTCAGGGCTCTGGAACGCTTCAAGGACAAAGAGCAGGAGGTGCTGCGGTTGCAAGTGAAGAGCCCCTCCGAAGTAGACACCGACGGGGGAGACGTTGGCGGGGCGACACGCAGGTGGCACAGATGGAGGCGGCCGCAAACCTTATGGAAGAGGGCTCGGAAGAGCGTGGAGATTTGCGTGAAGCTCAGCGCCTAATTTCCAGGTCCATGGTTTCCGCCCAACTGCTGAAGTAGGAGACATCCTTCTGTGTAAAGCCTCCCTGTTTTTCAGTTTCGTTGCTGGGAACCAATCGCATCTCCGCGCAAGGCTGAGACAGGCAGTACAGCTCCGAGTCGGGCTCTTGGCCATAAGTTTGATGACGTGTGAAAAATACAGATAATACATGTCATGTAGATAGCTGCTAGGTAGATCAGGTAGCTGAAGAAATATAGACAGATAGATAAACAGCTGGGGTAGGTAGGTAGGTTGGTGGAAGGGTACCTAGATAGGTAGATACATACATACAAACGTACATACGTAGACATGAGCGTATAGATAGATACTAATCGGTAGGTCACTAGATAGCTGAGGAAAAGGATCGAATTATAGGTAGGTGGATGGATGGATGGGTTGATGCAGACAAAGTGGATAGACAGGTATATGGAGGGAGACAGACAGACAGACAGACAAACAGACATACATCAAAAAGAGGTAGCGGCACCACAGGGTCTGAGCACCAGGGCCTGAACAGCGCACTGTAACGCCTACCGCGTATGCTTCACTTTGGTCTGCCAGGCGAGGGGTACTGCGTGCTTGTGTGGGGTATGTCATTAACGGGACTCGGGGATTCAGCCAAGTGCAGCTCAACTCGTCTCACAGTCAGATCGAGCTTGGACAACTGGCGTAGCGCTAGCGCAAGGTTGGAGGGGTCCTCCCCTCTGGCTCAAACGCCGGGCAAGCAAGCAAGACAGACAGACAGACAGAAAAGGTTGGCAGGTAGATGCATCGATGGTCCGTTAGTTAGATACTTCGTTGTTTTGTTCATCGGTCGGTCGGTCGGTTGGTTAGTTGGTCAGGTAGTCAGTTAAGTTACGTTACGCTATGTTGTGCTACACAACGTTAAGTTTCGGCTCAGGTTTTACTTTTGGTTGGTTTCCTCGCTCGTTCGTTTGCCAGTCGCTTAATTTTAACGCCACGCCGCCCGCCTCGGCTGTGTAGCGGCAGGGCGAGGGGGCAGTCGATGTTTTTTTATGCTAGGGCGGCCTGTCAAACCCCAACCTTTACACGGTTGTTGATACGAAGTGCGAGGAGAATGGGTAGGGGAGGGGGGGAGGGGGGGGAGGGGGGGGGGGGGGGGGGGGGGGGGGGGGGGGGGGGGGGGGGGGGGGGGGGGGGGGGGGGGGGGGGGAGGGGGGGAGGGGGGAGGGGCAGGGGCAAGGGGGTGGCAAACGAACGCAAAAAGCGGGTGTCTCCAAACATTTGGACTGCAGGGAGGAGGATACCTGAGGTAACCCCCAAGACGCCTGGGCCTCGGCGGATTCAGTCAGTTCGTACGTCCGAAGGGTCAGTCAGCCAGCCAGGCAGGCAGCCAGTCAGTCAGTCCGTAAGTTGAGTGAGTGAGTCAGTGAAGTCAGTGAAGTCAGTCAGTCAGTCAAGAAGTATACTTCTCTATCTGTGAAAGGAGGGCAGCAGTGAGAGCAGGAAGGGCATGTGAACGACCGTCCCTGCTGGCAAGCTGGTAACTAAATCCGGTCAATTCAGTGTCTTCGGTCTGAAAAGACAAAAGCCCCTCAAGCCTCATTTAGTGAAGCCAAGTTCAAGCCAGGATGAATGGCCTATAGTTCGTTCTCGCCAATCCAGCCGCGCCGCACGGGCCACATAATCGACTGCCATGTCAGGTGGAGCTGGAGCGAGCCCAGGCAAAGAACCCGGAGCTCAAGCAGATGCTACAGGCACCCGATGGGACAATGCAACCTGGCCCGAGCATTTCTCCTGGGAGCTCCGGCAGGCGGAGGCTCAAGCTGCTCAAGCAGCCAAGGAGAAAGTTGCAGCACAGGACCGAGCGCGAGAGAAGAACTTCGATCGCTACTGGTGTCAAAAAAGCTCAAGCTTCTGAACCTTCGGTGCATGGGAGGAAGAGAACGGCAAGCTTCCCAAGCCAGCTGCTTTTGATGGCCCTCGCCTCAATTGAAGGTCGTGCAAGTGCATTGGGGGAGGCCATGCAACGGATTTGTGTGGTTATCATGTTTCATCCAGCCTGCTCTTGACTTCGATTCTTCTGCCTGCCGCCAACTCGATGTTTCCGCGTGAAATTGACGTCCGGCTTCGAACACGACCCGATGCGCACAGCTGGAACGGCCGAATCAGAATCGCGAGTCGTTCGAACATACTCAAGAAGCTCAATCCCTCACCAGTCTCTCCGATGTTCTTGAGATCATGGATGTAGGCATGAAGAGCTGCAACTGAGATGGGAAAGGGGCCAAGAAAAGCCTCTTCGGTCCCAGTGCCGGGGCGGTAGGCACTCTTGCAGTTGTTGTGTTGACACATGCTTCCTTTTGTGAAAGCACCTAAAGCCGGACTGTGTGGTAGGTGGCCCAGCCGAAGCGCGACTATTTGGGCTTCCCTCGAGGTGCGATCAAGTTGCAGTCTTGTCGGGAACATACTAGATAGAACATCTTGCGAAGCTGCAGCTTCCTGTGACAGGCCTCCTGCTGCACATGTCGGCAGGGAGGCACCGCTCCCCTTGGGGCAAGCGTCGCCAAGGCGGCAAGGCTCCCAGTTGCCGGAGCCGCAGCAGCCGCAGCAGCAGCCGCCTTTCGGGGCCACGGTTTTGCCAGCGGCCCTGGCGTCGCCGGGTCGATTGGCCGAGGCTTTGCCAGCTGTCCAGGAACCTCCACCAGCTGCGCCTGCAGTGGCTGCGCATGCTGCGCCTCCGCCTCCGGCCTTTGCTGGCCTGGAGGGTTTGGGCGCCGCAGGGGATGCAGCGCAGGTGGAGCGGCGCCGGAGGCAGGAGGAGGTGAAGCGTGCCCTTGAGGAGCAGATGGCGCAGAGACACGGGCAAGGCCCAGGCTTGGCTGGATCTCCCCTCCACCAAGCACCACAAGCAGCACAGGCACATTATGCACAGCAAGCTCCGCAAGCACATTATGCCGCCCAGGCTCCTGCCTCACCTGTTTTGGGGGCAGGGGGCCCCTGCAGTCCTTCAGGCCTCGGGGGCTTTGGGGGCTTCGGGGCTGCCTCAGAAGCAGCTGAGCTGGACCGTCGGCGGAAGCAAGAGGAGATGAGGCGTGCCTTGGCGGAGCAGGTGGCCGAGAAAGAGCGCTTGGCTTATGTGGGAAAGGTTCCAGGCAACATGCCGGACCCCCACAGCATGGTCCAAAATGGTCATCCAGTTGCCATGCCTATGCAGCCGATGCAACCCATGCAGCCCGTGCAGCACGCCATGCAGGGCATGCAGGGCATGCAGGGCATGCAGGGTATGCCACTGCAGGGCAACGCTGTGCAGCCCGGCTTCTCGCCGGTGCAGCAAGGTGTGGGTCAACCACCACCAGCAGGCGTAGACGGACTAGGCGCAGCTGGAGATGCTGTGCAAATGGAGAGAAGAAAGAAGTGGCTTGACTTGCTTCAGTCACGACCAGGTTTACAGCCTGCCTAGCTGCATTTCGCTTTGCGTCCGTTGTCAGCTCATGTCCGGTGCGAGCCGAGGCATCAGGAGATGAAGCGTGCTCTGGAAGAGCAGATTGCAGAGAAGGAGCGGCAAAAGCGTGAAGCACAGGCACGGCGACGGATGTCCGACGCTGGCGGCCAGGCAGCAGCACCTGGCCAAGTTCCCCAAGGAATGCCCCAGCCCATGCAAGATGGCTACAACGGCTACTTGGAATACAACCAGCTTGGAATGCCTCAGATGCCCATGCAGCCGGGCATGCAGCCGAACATGCAGCCAGGCATGCCACCCGACATGCAGCCAGGCATGCACCCGGGCATGCCTGCCATGCCGTACATGCAGCCCATGCCGGGTTTGGGTCCCGGCATGCCCATGGTCCCAGGAGGTCAGATGCTTTCCTACCAACCGAGCCTGGCGCCCGGGTCTCACCCGGGCCATCCGTGCCCTGGCTTTGGTGTTCCACCAGCTGGACCTGGCACGCCAAGTCGATCCGCAGGCAGCGCACGGTTGACTGAGTACTGCCGGATGTTCATTTGGGCTAATATAGCAGCGGTAAGTATATGCGCAGTAAATATTTATTTCAACACGGGGACTGAAGAGCCCTGTTCTCACTCTGCCTTTGAAGGCTTTCAAACTGATGCTCTGGCCCGGCAGGCGATGGCCCTCTCGGCCGACTGGGGGCGCCGGACGCCCAGGCTGGCCAGGACGATCGCCGGAAGAAGCAAGAGGACACCGGGGCGTGCAGTGTTTCTCGGAGCGCGGAGTTGGTTGGACGCATGTATATAGATGCCGTAGCTCATCGTGGCAGGAGATGAAGCGCATGCTCGCGGAACAGGTGGCGGAGAAGGAGCGCAAGAAGAAGGAGGAGGAGGAGCGCAGAAGGCAGGAAGAGGAACGGGACAACGAACGGATCCGCCGAGAGCAGGCCGCAGAAGAGGCGAGGCTGGAGGCTCGCAGGCAGGAGGACGAAGCTAAGAAGCGTGCCCTCTTGGAGGAAAACGAGCGTGCAGCCGTGGCCAAGCAGGAAGACGAGGCCCCGGGGCCCCTGCCACCGCGTAAGGCCCCGGGCCGCAAATCCATGCGAGGCACCGAAGACAAAGAGGGCTTCGTACGTCAAAGTCAAACTCGCTCGGATCTCTTCGGTTTGCCGCCGGGGCAGGCGCAGCTGCAGCCGCATGCGCAGCCTTTCCAGGCGTCGCCCAGCTCCTCGCCTCTTCCCTGGGAGATGCCGGCTGGGCCGCTTGGGCCCGTAGGGGCACTTCACCAAGCTAGCTTTCAGTCAGCTCCAGCTCCAGGTCCAGCATCCTCCCCGCCAGTGAGCGACATGTTGCAGGGCTTGATGCACCAGCAGCAGGAACTCTACCGCCACCAGCAGGATGCACTTGCTCGACTTCAAGAGGAGGCTGACCGGCTGCGCCAGGAGAAGGAGTGTGCGAGGCAGGACCTTCTCGACATGAAGGCAAGGCAGCTTGAGGAGAAGGAGAAGGATGTGAAGAAGCTGCAGCGCAAACTGCAAAGGCAGATGCTCTTACAAAGCACCGGTGCGGCTGCACCGGGACAGGCTTCGCTCCACATGCTTCCTTCTGTTGCCTCGACGCCTGTGGAGGGGATGTCGGGCATGAGCGGCCCTGCTGGCGAGCCCTGGGGTGGTTTCTATTCCAAGTACGAGTCTGCTGACGCTGACGTCGGGCCTACAGCCGCAGAGACATCCCAGTGGGAACCCGGCTATCCCACAGACGAAGAGCTGAAGCAGCTCGGGGTGGCCCAGGAGGCCAGGAGGGCCTCGGCTCCGTCGGATCCCCACGCTTGGCCGGTGGCGCCCGTTCCGTGGCTGCAGGCCGCGGACGCCGAAGCGATGGACGCGGCTCCAGTCGCTCTGGAGAACCACGAGCCAGCTGCGGGCGAAGCTTTAGGCGAAGCCTCGTTGTTTGAAGACAGCTGGGGCAAGCCTCTGGAAAACACAGCTCAGCTGGACGAAAGGCTTGGAAACACCGCCCTGAGCGGCAAATTGGGAGCAGAGACCTCCCAGCTGGAAGGAACTCTTGTGGGCGAGTCAAAGTTTGTCCAAGCTGACTTTCAGGGGGCGACTATGGGTGCAACTTGGATCGGAGCCGAGCGAGCAGAGAGGGAAGAGAAGCTGAAAGCCAGCGCGTCACTCACCAAGAGCCTCGCTGTCGTACAGTCCCCGCCATTGACAATGTCACTGCAGAGCCCGGTGACCGAGGAAGGTCCGGAAACCTCAGAAGGGAATGGCGCATTAGCTGGATCCGAAGGCTTTGCAGACTTTTCCCTTCCTAAAGAAAGCAAGCTCAGCGACGGCGAGGATCCAGCCGATCCTTTGAGTCTGTTGCAGGGTGCAGTCAATGCAATCAGAGAGGCACGTGCAGAGGTTGCCTGTGTTACTACCTCCAGCTTTGCCAGCCCCTCCGAAAAAATGCCGTACAGCGCACGAGAGGAGGAAGCTCCGTCCGAGTCTTGGGAGGGCGTGCTGCGGCAGTTTGGGGCTGAAGACCTGCAGAGCTCGACATCCAAGCCCACGGGTCGGCCCCCACGCAGAGCCCGGCAGAAGTCAGACAACGACACCGGCAAAGCCCGTGAAGCGGGATACCCGGGGATGGAATACACCCAGCCGGAGCTCTTGAGCTCAGTTCAACCAGATAGCCTCGACTTTCTCCAAGGACTTGGTGGTTTGGGTGCGGCTGCCAGCACTCTGGGTTCTGTTTCTTTAGATGGTCTTGGCACCCAGCGGCCGATTGTCAAGGACGATTTTGCAGCCTTTGCTGCCGCAACACCTGAGGATTTTGATGTGTTCCTGTCCAAGCTTCGGGCACAGACGAACCAAGACAGGATGGACGGGATGGACAGGACGGACAGGATACAAGCTAGGCCTTCCGAAGGAAAGGATAGCGCACGGGGACGGCAGCCACCGGGAGGCATTGCTACAGCGAAAGAGAGGGCAAAGTTTGGATCACCGACCTTGAGGGCAGCAGCCGGTTCCTTGATCAATCAGGATCTCCGACCAACCTCTGGGCAATCCCAGGTGAGTGGTGTCAGCGCCTTGAGTGCAGGCCCTGGCCGTCCAGGAAGTGGTGGAAGCGCCTGCAGCTTGAACAGCGGTGCTCCAGCATCTCTGCGGGATTTGCGGCACCAGCGCCGCAAGCCCAAGACCACTGAAGATCAGGCACATGACCTTCCCACAGGGGCCGCGCTTCCGGATACGGGCCCTGGAACCAGTTTGCACGCTACGGTCCCTGCATCGGTGTCACGTGAGCCGAGCGCACTACAGGCTTTGAGGGAGGAGCACCGAGGTGTCGGAGACTGAGGTATCACTTCGAGAAACCGTGGAGCCATGCGACAAAAGCCCCGCGCCCCTGCTGATGGTGCTGAAGCTTCGGCCGGCGCTCTCGGACGAGGCAAAGAAGAGCTCCAACTTCGCCCGAAAAAACTCGACACGAAGGCAACGATTCGACGGAGATCCACGCAGACGCATCCAGCTCCGAGAAGAACAGAGAAAGCCCGGCAGCGCCTCCGAATTCATGAGATCCTGCAAGCTGGGCCCCAAAGGGGTCGCAGCTCCCCGTCGGCATGTGGCATACAGTGCCTTGCCTTCGGCCCCCTTTTTTTGCAGCTCTGCCCATTCTGAGCGGGCTGCCTGTTTACATCTATGGGTGCATTGATGGCAGGTGGGGGAGCGCAGAGCTCTCAGTGCTTTAGCTGAGCCTCCTCGCGTTCTTGCTTAGTGAAAGTCTCCTTGCATCAGGAATCATTTCCAATGTTTTGCAGATGTGCTCTGAAAGTCCTGTCGTCCTATGCTGCACTGGCTTGGCAGATGGCCGCGCAGGGCGATATCTCCAAGGCCCGCAGCATTGAAGCAGCTGTCGCCACGCGTTTCTGCGCTGGTATCTGACTGCTATGTAAGTGCGCGTGAAAGAGTATGGTTTCAAGACGAGGAACACCACCACGGCACGTCGGCTACTCGTCTGGCTGGCTACGACATGCACATTCCAGCAACCTAAAAAGGAAGGGAAGGATGAAGGAAGGAAGACGAGGTAAATCCACATAAGAACCAAGGCAGGCAAAGCCGCAAGAACTCCCACCCACAGGCCCACATCCGCCGACCACACTCGCTCTGGCCATGGATCTGCAAGCAGCGCCAGTGCAGGTTGACCAGTCGCTGTCGAAGAAGTCGCGGCGAAAGCGCATGAGCGCGTTTGGGCCCCTGACTGTTTGCCGCACGTCGACTTGAGTTTTGGGTTTCACAGCTCCAGCGGTAACAGGGAGGGGTTGCGGTAACGCTGTGCCTTCCTTGAAAAACTGCGAGCTTGATGGGCGAGCCATTGCTTCGATGGTCTTGCGTGCTCTTGATTTTGCTGGTAGGTGCATTCGCGCAACTCGGCGTCGATTGGAGTCGCGATCAGAAGAGGTGCCAGTTTTCCGTTCAAGCAGTCACGAAAGCTAGCTCTGTTGAGCTCGCGGGAGTTGCCCTTTAGCAATTTTCACTTGGTCTACCTTGTATTAAGGCACTAGGGCAAAACCAGGGCTTACACCTTATCAGGTGGGACGTCCAAGAGTTAAGGTGGGGGGGTGGGGGGGAGGAGGGGCCGCCCCCCCCCCTCACCTCGCTCATGAAGCATTTTGAAGAGACAACCCCCCTTTAAGGTTGCGGCGCGTGGGACAAGGTGGGGGGGGGGCTCCCCCCCCCCTCCCTACCCACAGGTCCCCCCCCCCCTCCTTCCACAAGGTCCCTCAGTTTGCTTGTGTTTCAAGTTTGTCGTTTGCGCTGCGTCTTGGCTCCAGTTCTTTTTGGTCCTACTCTCCCCTAGCTTTCGTGGCCCTCTTCTCAAGTGGTTCTTCTGCCGCCAAACAGTCACCAAATCACTGGGTCCTAGCACCTTCAAGATCGCCGAAGAGTGACTGAGAGCTGTTGCAGGTAGAGACGGCTGTCTCTTCGCTCATGGCGCAGAGCACTCCAGCGTTTTGCCCCCAGATTGAAGCATCCGACTTCGCTAATTATCTCGATAAATGCACTACTGTGGTCACACGCTTGTGATCTGTGTCTCTCTCTCTCTCGCTCTCTCTCTCTCTCTCTCTGGCCCTCTCTCTCTCTCTTCATTCTCTCTCTGTGCCATGCATGTGAGCATGCCAAAGTTGTGAGCTGGCTCTGAGCTTGGAGGATGAAGGAGTTCACAGAGGAAGAGGCTGTCAATCAGCTTTTCTCATTGACAGCCCGACCCTCGACATGACGATTTGGGGGACAGGTGGTGGGGACAGAGAGCCAGTGTTGTGAATTGAACATGATCTTGTGGCGGAATGTGCGAATGCACTACTGACACATGACATGTCGGATACTGATGTTGTACACCCGAGCCTGCTAGCTCTCGAGCCACTGATCTGTTGTATTCGCTTTAGCCGGGGACTGACCTCTTCCTCAGGTTTTCGCGTGCTACGAGCACGTAGACAACCAGACCATCGTCGAGGCCAGGCAAGGGGCGGATCAATTTGCCCCTCAACTTCGCAAGTTTTCAGGTCCTGCAGGGTGCAGAGCAGCTCGACGAAGAGAAGGGCTCAACAGTCTTCAGGCACATTAAGTTGCGATTCCCTCATCCATGTTAGTTGAGAAGTTGAACTGCTTTTGCTTTGCAGATGAGCTGGAGTTCGGTGCACGGGCAGGGATGTGCTCTCTGCACGGCGACCCAGCCGAGCGCAGATGGAGCTCTACGAGGCTGTGGTGCAGGAGGAGACCTTCTCAGACGTCAGACCGTTAGACGTCCTTCCCAAAATCTCATTTCAAGCCCTTGTTCGCTTTTGCCGTTGCCGGCCTTGTGTCCGGTCAAGGAGCAAGCTCGTCTGCTTGAGCAGGCTCACCGTTATGCACAGCTCTCTAACAAGCTAGGCCAGGCTGGCTCGGAGATAGCCCGATTCGCGTCCCAAGGGCCATTCATCCACACTCTGCACCTGATCCGCTGGCTCTGGTCTGTCCATTCGCTTCCACTTGCGCAGATGACACCAGATGACATGCCCGGTGCTTTGGGCAATATCGGCCGAAAGATGTCCACCGCCACGAAGGCACGGAAGCAGAGGGTTTCACTCCTTTCGCGAGTGACGGTAGCTGAGTAGCACAAAGGGCGCTGCGATTTTCGCCGCTTGTGCTGCAGGCGGCTTACGTGGTCTCTGTGCTCGCAGGTTGACCTCGGAGCGAGTCGTTGTCCAGAGTTTTTCCTTTTCGATTTTGATTGGTTTTGCCGGTAAGGCTGCTACATTCCAAGCCCTCATAAAAAAAGCAAAAAAAACAGCGGCTCGGCTCGTCTGTCGGCCCAAACAGGGGGCCAAGCATGGAGGCACGGGGGGGCGGTTGGGATCTTGGGTGAGCCGGCCAGGACCCCGGCTTGCAATGGGGCCTTTGCTGCTCGAAGCTTCAGCTTCGGATTGAGCGATGAGGCCATGGCCTACAGGCAAACCAGCACCGACAGCCATGGAGGTCGCTCCACACCAGGCCTTGGGAATCTGCTTCAGTTCTCCTGCTTGGCGGATGCAAGCGCTGAGAAGTAGTCGACAGACTCTCACATCAAAAGACAGAAGCTGCCGATCTGACATGCCGTTCCGTTGTGCAGGAGGAGAGGTGCATGAGGTGGACACGAACGGTGCCTTCAACTTCAAGAACCGTGCGGCGCTCGGATTTCTCAGACTGAGCTACGAGCAGCGGCGAGAATTCTCCCAGCACGCATGTGCTTCGCATTTGATGAGCCTTTCTGCCTTTGCCCACTAGCCCATCTTGCGCTTGCTGTGTCCAGCGCCAGGCGCCATATCCAAGACGAATGCATCTCCGAGCAAGGCCGAGCCTTTGACATGCGTTCAGGTCTGGGCCAGGCCACAGCAACAACAAAAGCAAAAAAAACTGCAGCGTGGTCTTGGAGTCTGCCCTGATGCTCAGCGAAGGGCGCTGGCCTGGCGGGGCTTAGCCTGCGCAAGAACATGGGAGCGGCGCCAGTCAAGATTGAGACTCCTCGGTGCGGGCCCCCAGAGAAGTTCCCCAACCCTGTTTCGTTTATACTTGGCAACTTGGCATACGAATTTCACAGAGGAGTCTGCAGTAGTGATTTGTCGTGCAGACTCCAGGGTTTGGCATCGCTCGCTCTTGGCTTCGCCGGCTTGAGATATCTGTAGCTCTGGTGCTTGTCAAGGACTGGGAGACGCGTGTCAGGCTGGGCGGTGCAATGCAGTATGGTCGGGATTTCGCGCGCTGTTGCCTCCAAGTTGCCTTGAGTATACTCAGACAGAGCCTTAAAGCGCCCGGTCGCATTTTGTACAGAGAGGTGCGGGGGCAGATTTCTTCGATGGAGAGAACATCGATGATATCGTGTTTGCCTGCCTCCAGTTACTTCGGAGGGCATACGTTTCCCGAGATGGCTTCATCGATTCACTCAACATTCAATCTTGATGGGAGCTGCCAGGAAGTCGTTGATCAGCACGAAGAAGATAGACTCGGCCTGGCAGCGAATTTCGAGGCACATCTGCTGACATGCTGCAAAAGCTGCCACAAACTCATGTCCATGCGAGTTCAGATATCTGCTGGTAGTTTGTAGCCTTGCGGCAGGCGAGTGGCCACACTGGAATCGTACATACAGCACCTCCGAGGCTGAGAAAGTGTAGCTGTCGCCCTTCCGCAGCAAACGGCAGCAGAGGGGTCCCAGTAGCTTTGTGACACGATGACCGTCAGGGCGCGCTTGGAAGAGTCGCAGAGGCCGTTGGCAACACTTTTCTCTCTATTCGTGTCAGGTGGCGAGGGAGATGACGCCTTCCTCACGCGCAAGGACAGACGTGGCGCAGGGCTTTCCAGAACGCACGGTCGGGCTGCATACCAGGAGTTCATCGAGTTTCTGCAGAGTCGCGTCCTCGGGCCCATATAACTCCCGCTTGCATGTTGCATCAACCCGCAAGTGCCCCGAACTGGTGCTGGGGACAGCGAGGCCAAGAGAGCAATGATGACGGGCAGGAAGATGGAGGTGAGGAGATCCTTGGCCGCATGCCAATGAAGGGGGCTTTTTGCAAGATGATGCGAGAGCCGAGAGCACCTCTCGCCTGCTGGGGCTTGAGGCAGGCCGGCGCAGAAGAGCCAGAAGAGCCCCAGGACGGGGGGCTCGGGTTGTCACTGCTTGTCGAGGTTGCCGACTGCTGGTTCCCTTGCCCAAGCCTGCAGGAAGATCCACTTCTGCTCCAGATCCGAGAAGAACTGAAGGCTCAGGACCTTGGCTTGCCTCTGTCCGCCTCAGAGTAAGATCGCCATATTGCAGCCTGTGCCAACCTAAGGAAGCTGCTAAGCGTTTCTTCGGGTAAGTTCACCCAGAGAGGCTGCTGTGTGCGGGCACCTGCTGTATCCAGGAGGATGCGAACACGAACGCGTTGAGGCAAGCCATGGAAGGCTGTCCGACAAAATTGACTCATCATGGACAGCTTCTGCTCAGTATAATTAGTATGATTAGTCTTATTGGTATTGTTAGAATTACGAATATTACTAACAATATGAAAAGATAGTATCATGCTTGCTTCTTTGGTTGTGGGTCACGTTCCGTTGCTTTTGTCCGATGTTCTCATTGGCAAGGCGCCCGCCAAGCTGACGAAGCCAAGTGGGTTCGGTTTGGCGAGCTGGAGGACTCGCTGGACTTGGGGAGTAAGAGTATTACTATCTTCCCAAATTGTTAACAAGAAAATAGTAAAAAAATATATATATATATATATATATTAATCATAACAGTAATGTTCTATTATTAATAATACTAATACAAAAATATAAATATTAACAATATTGATATCAGTATGAATATTCATAATATATTATCAATAGTATTAATAATATTCATGACATTCATAATACTACTAATATTAATAGCTATTAATACCTATTAAGAAAATTAATAAGAATCGTGCTAATAATACTAATCATACTGATGCAAAGAGGGTGCTTTAGGCGGCTGCAAGCAGCTAATCGACATCTATGAACCTTGAGGGTCTGAAGGAATTCTGGCGATGTCAGGACAAGTACAGGCAATTGGAGGCCACCTTGGAGGAGGAGCGCTCGGACCGAGGCTTCGCCGAGGCGCCACGCGCAAAGATTACTCCATGTAAGGCATCCTTGCGAATCTGTGTGTCTCATGCTTCCTACTTATACCCGGGGTGTGGCACAGTCGACCCCGCATGATGCGCCGAATCAGAGCATGCATGTTCGTGTGCGTGAGTTCACGTCAATGGATCGAGAACGGTTTTCTCTCATCTTCAAACGCTTCCAAGCGGACGGCTTACGATGTCACACCTTCCTCATCTTCAATCCCCAGTAGATTTCAGATGCTCTTAGGGCTCAAGGACCCTTTTGAGATCGGAGTTTGCGGGGGCTCGAAAGCTGCGTGGCGTGACCCCACCAGATATCAGAAGCATGTGTTGCGATGGTATCCCATATGGCCACAGGCTTTAGAAAGCATGATTATGCGCGGAGGGTCATTGCGGATGAACGACGATTGGATGTTCAGATTTTAGAGGCGACTTGAAGGAACAACAGGGCACGAAGGAAGGACCACAGAGATTCTAGCCTTAGACGCTGAAGCTACCTTCGGCACTGCTTACGACACAGCTCTGCCGACCGAAGCCGGCAGCATAAAGCCATCTTCTTCTCGCTCTCTCGTGGTGGTTTGATGTTTCTTGATGCTGTGCCCGGCATGTTCTTGAAGTTGCCCAATTACGTTAGAATTTGGTGTAGCCCATGCACTAGCTTACAGCAATGTTCGGTTGAGTTGATGTGTCGAGCGCACAGCACGGCAAAACTCTCTTGGCTTTCCAGCTGCCATGATCACGGCATTAGTCATGGCGTTCCGTATCTTATTTGCGCTTGTGGATCATCTCCCCCCACGTGCTTTCTCTTTTGGATTGTCTCGTTCAAGACTTTATTGTCTCAAGACATTTGGCAACGGTCTGCAGCGGTTTTCTTCGTTCATAACGGAAAATTGGCCGACATGCGGGGCGGAGCACTTGCTCGCAAGGGTACAGAGGTTTATCATCTGCCAGGCAGCCTTCAAAGACCAGTTGCAACAGCTCTCAAGCGTCTTGGAGGCTGATGGGACCGCAAAGCCATGCACTCTGGAGTTGCAGGCCAGCACCCTACGCCCTCCCACGCCTTCAGGATCTGGAGCCCCGCATGCAAGCCTTTGCCACCAGCGAGGCACAGCCGTTTCTGAGAAACGGTAGGGGGTACCTGTTCCAGTGCTGTGACAAGTCTTACTCGCCTCCGCAGCATGTCTGTCACAGTGAAGGCTCGCCGGCACATCTCCCAGTCCCCCGGCAGCATCATTTTTACGTTTCGATTTGCCAATAGTCTTTCGTGCCATTTCTGGCTGGCCATCAGGTTGCTCTTTCGTGATGGCGACACGGAAGCACAGTGGATCAGCGAGACGACCAGGTCCGCACACTTTCCGAAATCCTCAAGCTCGAAACCCCAGACGTTGAGCACAGGGTGGTCGAAGAGCCTACAAGCTCTGCCTGCCTCCGTCTCAGTCGTACTTGGGTCACCTTCGAGTAACCGATGGAACACTGATAACGCGCTTTGATGCAATTCCGACCATCATTAGGCGAGGAGGACGTGCCAGAGGTGCCGCCGGAAGGACCACTCCACACGGAGACGAACACACTGGAGGTGGACATGGGGTGTTGTCCGAACGATTCTGATATCATATGAACCTCTTTGCGTGGCGATGAGGCGCACGCAACTTACTCCCGCAAGCAGGGTAAGGGCTGAAGCAGGTACCCGCTTCTCCGCCCGAGCGCTCACTTTCAAGTGCGTCGGCAGGAATCCCAGATTTTTGTGCTCCCTGCGTGACGGTTTTTCGGGCTTTTTCATGCAGATAACCTGCAAGGCAAGAAAGCAAACAGCAGAGTTGCAAAACGTCGATGCCAAAATTAGTGAGGCCGAGGTTCATGCACCGAGGAATGGTGCCACCAGCTTGCAAAGCGCCACGGTTAGTCGGCGTGACGAAACGTGCAGGACATGAGCCTGCAATGCTGCACAGATTCGCACGACAGTGACTACTTGTAGAAGCCCATCCTGCACTGTGATGCCGTTGTGTTCTTTGCTGTCCACCTTCATCTGCATGACATGCACACACACACACACACACACATCTCATCCAGCATCTGCGTGTTCTAAGGCTGTGTCCCGGTCCTTGGAGGCGACAGAGCTGCATCATCCCGAAGCCTCCATGAGAGTGCTGAGCTTCAGCTGCGAAGCCAGGTGTCAGAAGCAGAGAGGCTAGCGCGCCAGCATGCAAAGGCACCCGCTAAAAGTAGTCGAGGCCCGGGCTGTCGGGTCGTCTCGAAGCGTCGTGTGTCGTGAGGTGCTCCACGCAGCGGAGGGGACCTCCGATGGCCTATGCCACAATGCATATGAGCTGGGCGCCCGTCTTTCATGCTGGAGGCCATGGCATGGAGTTCCTTGCAGTTTCCCAGGTGGCGGGTGGCCCTATTGGGCCTCGTGCACACGGGCCTTGTGGAGCCATTGCGGGAGGAGGCCCAGCACACAAGCAGCAATTTCATGCTGTTTCTTGATGTAGATGCCTTTCTCTGCTGGAAGTTTTATTTTTTGCGGGGGCTTGAGAAGGAGATGCTCGTGCCTTCCGCAGGGATTTTTCCATCGGCTCTTCAAAGATGCAGTCCGAAGCCCGACCTTTAAGCGCCGCATGCCGACGACACATGGGGGTGCCCTCGAGCTCCGCGGCCTCACTGAAGCTTTCCTCCAGTCCCTCCTTCTGGTCGCTCTGCGAAATACCTCTCTTTGACTCCTCGGGCGAGTCCTTCAGGCCTGTTCCTGTGCCGTCGGTGCCCTCCGCGTGCTTTTTGCGCCTGAAATTGGGGGGCAGGTCGGCTTGCGACAGCAGTGATGATGAGGACGTCGCACGTCGTAGGTTCAGCTGAAGTTGCATCAATGAGCCAAGCCGAGCGCCCGCCAGGACGTCATGCCGAGGAGGCGCGGAGAGGGTGCCCTGGCACTAGATCCCGACCAAGACGAGTACGAGATGAAGGTTGTTCCTACAGATGCCCCCCGTCTTAATGCAAGGCTGCAAGGGGAAGCCTTCGAGTGCAAGCAGTTCTTCAAATCAACGGGCTCTGCTTTTGGACCTGTTTTTCTCGCTTCTGATCGATCTTGTGCAGATTGGTTTCGACATGTTCTGTCCGGTAAGCCTCATAGGCTTTCATAGACTGCATGCTCAGACCAGCTTTTGCCAGATTGCCGCCGCGATTTGCTGAGGACTCCCAGGCCAGTGGAGCCTCCCAGCAGAGATTACTGCGGGTGCAGATACGGTCCCTGACGAGCCGAATCAGCAATGGAGGAGCGCTGGCCAAAGGGTGCAAAGACTTTGCAAAGGGCTTTTGCAATGAGACCTTGCAGGTAGGGCAGCTGTCATCCGGCACTACTTGCGGGCTCGGCGCACAGCATCAACCTGATACCCCGGCGGCGGAGACCCAACTCATCACCCCATGCATGTTCCGTGCTTTTCGACAAGGTGAAAGATGAACTGGAGCTGGAGCTAATTGCATTGAGTGTCAAGGCCCCGCAAGACATGCTTGCCTCGTAAGCCGAACTTGCTTGAGCCTGACGAGTAGCTCCTCTGTGTGGCAGTCAGTAGCTGTGGCAGATGCTTGGCCCTTCCAGCATCAGCTACTCCTCCATGTAGGGCTTCAAGCTTCACAAGAACGCGCGACCCGGTAGAGCCACATTGAAGGGGCGATGTGATAGGGGGACAGCGGGGGTAACTGTCGACTCTCCCGAGAGGCAGCCGAGATGAATGAGTTGCATTCATCTTTTTCAACAGCTGCCGCTCGCCTTTCTCTGGTGCTTTGCTGTTGGTGGGTCGTGTTTTGGGATTCTTTCTTTCTCCCATAAAAGTCGGAAATCCAGAGCAGCCAGGGTAGACCGCATGATCCACGCATGATCGACCTGACTTGTGGTTGACGTGCAAGGAAAGGTCTGCAACTACAGTTTTTGTGCAGATTGCCTGGGCTTTCCGGTCTCTGCTTGGAGGTTCAGGTGTAGTTATAAGTGGCGTCATAAGACTTCCCGTAATATGGGTTACAAGTATAGTTACTCTACTTATAACCCTACTTAGAACTACCCATGAACCTCCAAGTAGCTGGACTCTCGCAAGTGTCTCTCGCCTCAGCGTCAGATCGTCTCGGAGCTAAGTCCACTTGTGACACGACCCCTGTCGGCGATGCAGTCCGTCTGAATGCGTAGCATAGGGTCTGTGACAGAGTCTCTGTGACAGCGTAGTTAGCGGGAATCAACCCCGGATCCAGCGCGACCCGGGTGTTTCACTTTAAAAGCTTCAACTTCTGGGTCCAAAGTCATCCTGAGAGATACTCTCAGGGCCCGGAGGCGAGGCTACATGGGATCGTCTGGCAAGTGAGGCCTCAGTGTGGGAATTCCAAAGCATGAGCTGCCGTAATCCGGTGTTTTAGTCCCATACTGGGCCGTCGCTACTCAGACGCACCCTCACAGTGAGGGGTTTGGCTATTCGAAAAGGAAAGGTGCGCTGCAGCGGAAGCGTGGGCTTTTGCGCCATTCGTTCGCACAGACATGCATGGTGGCGCCGAAGCGATGAAGTCACCATCAGGTTGACAGGCTGCAGCGTGACATTTCGAGGCAGCGGGACGAGCTGAGCCCTCAGCCTCGCATCTCCTGAAATCCCGTGTATCAACGGCCCATGCTCATGTTGGCCCAGTTTCCAAAAGAAGATACGGGAGAAGGAGAAAGAGATCATCGAGGCCAAGCTGAAGGCTGGATGTTTCGACCAAGGTTTTCAGGCGTTTGCGAGTCTCAGAGGCGTCGTCTGCTTTGCCTTGTCAGGGCCAGAAGGTCGCCAAGGACCTTCGAGAGGCTGCGACCTGAAGTTTTTTTAGATCTCCAGAAACATCTCGGGGTTCTTCTTGCTTCCCTCCGCGGTGCTGAGGAGGCAGATATGAGGAAGGGCGAGGCGATTGAGAACATCACTTCTTTCCAGAAGGTGCGCAACGAACGCAAAGGAAGCAGGAGTTTTATTGAGAATTCATTGTAAGTTAAGCATCCCGTTCTAAACTTCTAAACAGTTCAAACTCGAGCAGGGCTATAGGAACCAGACATCGCTGAGGTCTATAAGCTGATCCTCGAGGCGGGGCAAAAAGCCGCCGGGGACAACGACAAGGCAATGGTGTTGAGTTGCTCTTCTTGCGTTGAGGAGCGCTCGTGCTCAAAGCAGCAAATGGCACCCAAGCCCGCAACTCACTGTGAAGGCCATGGACAGGATCCGTGGTGTTCAGGGCCAGGCCAGCGAGGGCTGGGGACGCTGCACTCGTTCTGGGAAGGAGGCGATTCGCACACACAGCCACACGGCTCCGAACGTAAGCATTGCCATCCACATGCACGCGCTCACGATGCGAAGCGAGAAGGGAATCGCACTTCGCTACAGCCAGCGCCAGCGTTACGCGCAGTCACGAGTGAAAAACCGACTCCCAAGCCGGATAGATCTGGTGATCACGACCAGTCAAGGTTCTCTCTGCCGGTGAGTGATCTTCGAAGCCTCAGTCTGCCTTCGAGGTGGATCATCTTCATGTCCGGCTGGAAGAACATGGCAAGGCTGTCTTGGGGTTCAGCGATAACAGCGATGCGAAGCAAAAGTCAGACGGTCATGTGAAGCTCATGATGAGGGTGCGGGTTAGTGCAGAGTTTCTCATGCAGCAGGACATTGCAGACCGGGCTACTCTTGCCGATGCCAAGACTCTGACGGACGGTCGGTTTGCTTCCAGTCTTTAGGCAAGCTCGGATGCTGCAACGGGTCAGTTTAGTTGAACTACCAGTCACAGTTCAGGGTCTACGAGGGGTGCTTGCAAGACTTCAATCTGTGGGCTCTGAAAGACGTGGATCCTTGAGCTTAGGTATCCGTGTCCGACCCGAATGAATCACCATACTCTAGAATTGCACAGGCTCAGCCGCCGCACCTTCGGTTCTATAGCTCTTCCCGTGCAGGATACGATGAAGCTGCTGGTGCAGAAGGACTCCCAACGCGTCCATGCATCCGAGCGGTCTCAGAGATGTTATGCAGGAAGCCTACAACAACCAGATCGTTGAGCTGAAGAAGATCCTGGACAACCAGAGTGCCAGGGCCCCAGCATCTCGCCGGAACCCCGAAAGCCCTAAACCCTGAACATGAGCGGACCAAGGACAGGATTGGTAGCATCGACTTGCAGGCTTGGTTTCTTTCTTTGTAGCTCTTGGCTATCATTGCCCCGAAGCTGTCCACCTTTACACTCAGCGAACGACGGGCGCTTCCTGAAGATGCATAGTCTTAGCGGTAAGTTCTCTTGCCAAGAACGACTTCGAAAGCAAGGCTCAGGGAAAGCTTCACTGATTCACAACGGTGCAAGCGAGGGGGGGTGTGGGTGGGGTGTGGGTGGGGTGTGGGTGGGGTGTGGGTGGGGTGTGGGGTGTGGGTGGGGTGTGGGGGGGTGGGGGGGGGGGGGGGGGGGGGGGTGGGGGTGCCCGGAACTGCCGACACAGTTCGTGGAAAGTTAGGACAACTGTGTAGTTGTTCTGCGGCACACACCTGCTAGGTGTCGGTCATGGCGAAGAATGGCAGCGCCAGCCCTTCAAGCAGTGGCATCCTTAGAGTTCCGGGGCAGCAGCTCACACCGCAGTAGGACGGTACAGCGATCGAGCGCCCCGAGGCAGAAGAGCCGCCAGCAGAGCTCGCTCTGCGAAGCTGCGGATGAAGAGGCTCCGACGGTGTGCAGGCTTTTGATATCCGACTTGGTGGCAGTACCTGAGTGATCATTCGCCATCATGCACTAGCAGGAAGCATGACGGGATTGATCCTGGGCAGTTCTGGTTGTTACTGCCACAACAGAACTGTTGGAATTGGAAGCCACACTTGGTGCAACCGTGTACCACTGCCAGGGAAGTTGCCAAGAGCAGCACCAGCTTTGCCTCGGGCCCAGTACGCCTTCATTCATAGTCATGCGCCGGTTTTGTTTACGGCTTTCCTGCCATCTGCCAAGGGAGCTTCGACGGGCTTGGGGCAGGCATTCCCAGTGGTGCATTTTGAACTCGGATGAGGTTTCATGCACAAGCCTGGAGTGGTGACTTGTCTCGGAGAGGCTATCGTTCCCTCCCACTCTCCCCTTCCTCCCCTGCCTCCCCCTCCTCCCCCTCCCTCCCCTCCCTCCCCTCCCTCACTCCTGCCCTCTCTCGCTCTCATGGATGGCGTCACACCGTGTCTTGGGTAGCGCAGGACAGCATCCGAAGCCTCGCTGGAACGTCACAGCCGCAGCCGGCGTCTCACGCATCGAAGCAATGTACTGTACTGGTAGCAAAGAGAGCATCAGTGCCCTTGGCACATCAGTGGCACCAAGGGATGATGACGAAGGACCGGTGCCCGCAGATTCTGACGTCCGATATCCGTATGTGGTCGAAGCCGCCAGGACGGCTCGCCGCCTTGGAAGACCAGGAAGGCTACTCTGCTGGGGCCGCAGACCTTGTAGCCCTTCTTGTCAAGTGGGTACCGGTTACTCGCTCAGGACGACGAGGAGCCACAAATGAACGGGCCCGGTCCTGGGGGGGCTGTCGGAGCAGGAACATGCATCACGGGCTCGGCTGCCTCACACCGCTGTCAGGTCCCGCAGCCAAGCGTCTAAGGCGTGGGGAGCAAATCTGACAAAAGCGGTAGCCTGACGAAGTCCCTTGAGCTCGGATGTCTCGTCCCTTTGCTGCATTGCTGCATTGCAGGTGAGCTTGCCCGCTAACGCCACCACATACCACGACTTCGACGACGAGGACTATGACACTATAAGTCTCTCATGTTCATGATACTTGACGGCGCTGTATTATCGTATCTGGTTATGTACAGTGCTATACTAACTGTATCATTGTATAACATACATTACAGTGCATTATCTTGTACTATAGAACATTATACATATACATGTATACAATACATTATAGAGTCTAAAATATACACTATAGAATAGTATATGTTACATCTGTATAGTATGATGTTATGGGGAAGGGGCGCAGCAACGCCTGCCGGGCATCATCCTGCCCATACAGCTACATATAAGGGTACATACACATGTATAGAGAAGTGTATACACATGTATGTATGTACGTATTGTATTGCATTGCACATCGTTGTTTTTCATCGGATTGGCTTTGCCTCTCTCTCTCTCTCTATATATATATATATATATATATATTTACATACATATATATATATATATATATATAAATATACACACATACAAAGTTGTATGCACAAACACATACATGCGTGCATACAGACATACATCTCTCTCTCTCTACCTCTTTCTCCCCCCTCTGCCCAACTTCTATTCCTACTTAGGGTACAGACTGAGGCTCAAGTCAGATTCGAGGTTTGGGGTTTGAGCTTGACCATAGTTGCCATAGTTGCGTTTTTCAATAAGCCTGGTGAAACGGCGTTCTTGAGAAATAGCCACTAATGTAGCGAGCCTTGGCATGGAGGACTTCGACGATGAGGAAGAGGCCTTCTGGAGGGGCCGTGCTGCGGGGAATTTCGCAGCCACAATCACCGTGCAGCATCGCCACCAAACCGCAGATTTGCAACAAGAGGAAGCAACACACTGAAGTCTCAACATGACGAGGTTTTTGTTTCTAGCGCAGCTAAGAGGAAAGGATTACCGGAAATGGGTTGCAGCAAGCTGCAAGCCGCGGCCAGTTCAGCGACTACTCGGATGACCCCATGGAAGAACAGCTCCGAGAGCAGGCCCGATGCATAAACATCCAAAGCACATCCAAAAGACCGACGCCGCCCCAGCTGACCTTTGAAGGTTCAGGGCATCTGTATGGGCCTGGTACCTCACTTAGCGCACCAGAAGAGCAAGAATGATAGCCCATCGAAGGGACTTCCAAAACAGCGGGTGAGTTCGATGTTTCCTCCTGCCCAAACCGAGGTTTGCGTGGCGCACCACGTGCTGCGAGGGCCGCCCCTCGTAGGCCTTTCGCGTCAGAGCCGACTGCTCAATGAGAAGGACTTGAACTTGCTGGATGGGCCACCGGGTCACACATTCAGCCCTGGATTACTGATTACTGGTTTCAATCCTTCGTGCAAGCTGGCAAGACCTGCTTCTATCAACATGAAGCTGCCAACATCATGATATTCAAAAGCCGGATGTTGCCCGTTCTTTGTCAGATCGTGCTTGAAAGGGTTGTGCAGCAGCTCAGATTTGCCAGGACTTGCTGGAGGAGCTGATGAGTCTGCGATATTGGGATTTCTCCTCAGAGAATGTCTTCTAGGACATCGCTGCAAGCCCCCCTGCACTGCGTTGAAACCTTTCGCCAGCTCGCAGTGCAGTGTACTGGTCGAGCATTTTCCCACAGTTTCCTTGCTCTGTCGACGCACTGCAGGTCACGCATCGCAAGACACCTTCGGACTGGAGCGAACTACTTAGTGTAACGATGGCAATGCGTCCTGACTGTCTGCGAGAACATGCAGCATGAACGCACAAGTAAGCATACTTGCAAGCGCAGAAAATACAGGAAGAAAGCATTTTGTGCTATCTGTCGTGCTATATGTCCTTCTTACGGGTTGTCCACCGCACAGACGTGGCTTTTCCAATGAGCGAAAGTTATGGACATTGACGTGGGCTTCACGCGCATGACCACCGCGTTGGACGAGACTGCAGGGGAGGGTGGATGGGGGGGCGGAGTTTACATGCAGTTCCATCAAAAGGCAAGAGAAGAGTGGGAAGGCAAACAGGGCTGGATCAAATTGCAAGGATAGAGGAACGGGGGGTGGGGTTGATTAATTATTGGATCTCATGGGTTTGCGGCAGCGACACTGGGATGGGAATTCAACGCCACAGGAAGTGACATGCAGTAGCACAAGATGATTCAAAAGCGCAGTCTGGAAGCGGACAGTTGGGTTATCTCAACTGTGTGTCTTTTCCTCGCTTTGCGTCTCGCTTCGGCACCTGAGGCCTGGATCGACTGAGGACGGTCGCCCTCAGATACTCGCACCCCAACCCCATGGAGGCCGCAGACCACACTTTCAGTGGGCTCCTACTCGTAGTGGTGACTTCCTGCCAGGTCCACGGGCCACAACCCGACATGTCCTACATCCTGCGTCACGCAGGGGGCCTCACACAGCAAGTTCAAAGGGCTCGAGTACAGTATGCGACACAGACGAGCGACGGAGATGTGAGTGAGGATCTTCAAAGCCCACCCAGGCGAGCCCACGGGACCCGACCTCCACGAAATCCTCGTTAGACAAAGGATTGAGCCCGGGGGCCTGGGCAACTGGTCGAGGTAGCATTTCAGCATCTCCTCTGAAGCAGCAACAGCCTTGTCAGACGACGGACGCCTCAGCTCTCCCAGAGGCCCGCGGAGAAGATCTGGCATCAGGCGTCGAGAGAGTTGTTGCATCCCGGAGGTGCGCGGCATCCTTTGGACACCTCGGTGGGTTCAATAGGAATCGACGGAGGCTTCGGCAGCAGCGCAGGCGGAGGCCATCCGGAGCTTCAAACTTCTTACGGGTAGTGCTGCCACGGGGACTCGACAGAGGGCTACACACCGCTGAGCCATTTTGAGCCACTATGGAATCTTCCTTCTGAACGCGCGTGAGCTGCTCCGTAACACTCCGCAAGCAGTGTGGTAGCACTGTGGTAACACTCCGCGGCCCGGTGGCCCCGCCACATGGGATGCTGAATTCGGAAAGGCCAATGCCTTTGCCAGAGAATTTGGGGCGAATCGTCGTCTCGCCACAGTTCCGTGAGTATCTGATTATCGAATGCGCGATTCCTGTGGTGGTTTCCGCAAATTGTTCAGCGCCTGGGGCTCGTCCGTCGTCCCGGCCGCCGGAAGGGTTTGGGGAATTTTCCAAAGTCATGCTGAGTCATGCTCGCGCCGCTGTGCTGTGACAACTTTGGGGTGCGACTCGTCGTGCCTTCAGCCTTCTTGTGCTAGACCAGCCAGCCAGGCGCAGGGATCTTTGGAGGCCCTCTGGAGGATGCTACGCTGCTGCCTAGCGCTGCCGGGGCCGTCAGCGTGCAGATTGCGGGGGCCTGCGTGGAAGACGATGTATTCTTCGGTTGATGAGAAGATGTGCTGGCGTCATTCAGCCGATCGCATTCGGATCGCATTCGATCAGCAAGGCTACGATGCTTCCGACGCTCGAGGGGAGTCTGGCCCTCACTGGAGCGGGGTTGATGCGTCGGATTTCCAGCCTGACAGCATCGGCAGCTCTCGGGGAGAGCTGCGGGCTGCTTTTCTCTGCTTCTCATTGCAGTACGGTGCTGTGTCAAAACCTTGGGAGCTGTGGCGTCCCGAAGCCGAAGCGCAGGTCAGCTCACGTCAAGCCTCGACAAGGCCGGGCCGGGCCCCAGCTCGGCCCCAGCTCCCACCTCCTACGTCCCCGACGCCGATGCCCTCTCTGGGTGGCCCTGAGGTGGCCGGTGGCTCCGGGCGAGGCTGGCGAGCCAGCAAATTGCCGCTGTCCGTTCAGAGCTTAGCGGCTTAGCGCAGCAGCTTAGCCGCGGCAGTTGGGCTTCGGCGTTAGACTTCAGCACGTCTTGCAGGCATTGGCGTAGTAGAGTTGCCAAGGCTCGGGAGGCGAGAGCTGGTATGGCATCCACCCTGCCTCCATTATGAGGACCCATGTCGAGAATTCCTCTTTGCTTTTTGTGCAGTCCCTTCGGTGATTGTGGGCAGGACGAGTGGGTCCTGATCATTCTCAGAAGCGAGTTCTGAGCTGGCAGGATGTTGGACACACTGCTCAGAAGCGGCCTTACAGGGGTTGATGATAGCCAAGGAAGCAACACAAAAGTCATTCAACAGCAGATGCCTCTTTGCAGACGGGTGCCGTCCCAAGCGAGTGCAAGCAGAGCTGCGAGCATTCGATTCAGCTCCAGCTGTGGCGCAGGCTTTTTCCGAATGGAAGGCCTTTGCAAACGCAAGCGCCCTTGTAGCAGAGCAAGTTAATGACCCTGGACCGTGCGAATGCGCATGCCAAGCTTGACTCGGATTCCTAGACAGAAATGAGAGGCTCTCTGTCCCTAAGCTTCCTTGCACCCCAAACTGCTCAAGCCTAGAGACTTCTGACCATGGCATGCCCTGCCCAACCGGGAGGTTTGGGCATCTTCGCTGCTTGGTCCCTGTGGAGGATGACGCAACAAAAGCCTTCCAAAGAGAGGAGTACCAAGTCCCAGAGGCCCGGCCTCGGGCTTTACTTGGCTTCACTGTTTTAGGGATGTTTTCAGGACTTGAAGCGTTTGGGCTTCATCTCCGATTTTTGAGAGTAGAGAAGTAGAGGGCCTTCATCGGACCAGGGGTGTGCACTACTCCTGCGTGTAGGGACTTGTCATAGCCGACTCGCGGCAGTCTTGGCATGTCTTGCCCAACGACATGCAGAGAATCCTGCCATGCACCAAACCGCAGCATCTTCGCCGAACAGTGGCAAGATGCCACATGACGTCTTTCGCCACGTGGATGTCCAATGGCAGCCCAGCGAGCCCATGCTGCAGCGCACGGCGGCTGTCTTTACGGCTTTCTTGAGCTGTTTTTTCGCGGCTGGACTGACGTTCGGGTTTTCCGCTTTAATGCCGAGTCTGCTCGATGACGGGGCTTTTCACGAGGACTGCCTTCATAAGGAACACCGGACTTGCCACGCGCAGCGTTTGCATCTGGTTTGGGTTTTCACCCTGGGATCATCCGCCTCCGCACTTTCCACGCTGCCCCAGGGCATCTTATTGGATTGGCTAGGACCCAGGACATGTGGACTGATCTTCAATGCTACAGTGGCTGCCGGATGTGTGTTGTTCTCCATGGGCGGGCCGGGGTTATGGCAGACTGCATACACCACGGGCTTCGTGCTGATTGCAGTAGGAGGCTCCGGCGTTTTCGTGAGCACCATCAGCTTCGGCAATCTCTTCCCCGGCCATGCTGGCCTCATCTTGGCGATGCTGGTTGCCTGCTTTGATGCCTCGATGGTCATTTTCGAGTTGCTAACACTTCTGATTTCCTCCGGCATGGCTGTCCGAACTACGATGCGTCTGTATGCGCTGCTTCCTGCTGCTCTTGCCGTCTGCGCCAGTCTCGTCTGGCCCAGAACAAACGTCCCAGGAGAACAGGAGCGCCGAACGTCGGGTTCGGAGGATTCCAAAAGTGACTTAGACTTCTGGGGCAAAGTCCTCAGCGCGGACTTCTTCCTCTTTGTCTATGCGGCGGTGGTCGACGTGCTGTGCGTGAATTATTTTGTCGCCACGGTATATCCACGGCTGCTCTCAGTGCCCCACGACGACGCGAAGATGCTCAACTCTGCTTTTGCATTCCTCCTTCCGGCAGGAGAAGCAACCCTTTTCAATTCCTTGTGATTGTGGGTAAAGGCACTTCCAGATTTTGACGGGTGCCGGTAGCGTACAGCTTGCACGAACTATTGCAAGGTACCCATTCAATAGGAATCTCCTGTTGTGCTCCTGGGACCGGCCAGCCGACACATGTACTGTACCTTCCGAAGCCCAACTCCGCAAGCCATCAGCTCTCGTTTAACTCGCAGTCGAAACAGGATGTTGCAGTACAATAGAGCACCCTCAGTCGAGAAACAATGCTTCGATTTGCCAGTTTCCACGGTGATTTTAGATGAGCACTGCAGAGCAAGGAGGCTCCACTGCATTGAGCTACTGCTCGGTCTAGGGCCTTTGGTATGGTATCTCTTGCGTGAAGATTCGAACTCTACCTGCTCATGGAGGTGTGCAGGTCTGAAAGATCGTTTGCTTCACAGGTAGGTTTGAACATCTGGCAAGTCAGGAGCCTTTATCTATGCCCCTTTGATTGGCTTCATTCTTGGCCAGTACGGCCCAGCGGCCGGATTCCTCGTCTTCAGCGGTGCCGGTTCTTAGATCTAGCGCCGCATGAGCGATGCAGAACTTGAGAAGTTGCATGGCTGTGCGGTGCTATGCAGTGTATCCACAGAATACTGCATATCACTCAAGGTCCCAGGCGTTTGGCTCAAGGTCCCAGGTGTTTGGCCAACACTGGAAATTAGAGCATCATGTTATTGCGAGATTGGGGTTTGGGTGTGCTTATGAGCAGTTGCAGATTCCTGAAGCGCTGTCGCTCATGCAGAAGGTGCTTATGTCATCATGGTCCACGTCCTCATGTGTCCCGGCTGATGTCGTGGGGTTCGTGTGATGTTTCGTTTGTGTTAGATAGCATGTCCGGTGACTGCACAGATGCAGTGCAAGGACATCTTGAACCTTGTTCACCATGGCTGCATCCCGTGTGCGAGCAGAGGCAACCTCACGTAGGTACATGATGGTGCATACAAGATGAGGCCAGAAGCAGCAAATAGCACCAGTGACCAGACTAGACAGCAGAGCGTCATTGGCCCAGGATCTTTGAGTTGGGCATGCTCGGCGGCAACTTCTGCGTTTGGGTGGCTTTTGCGCTCTTCGCACTTTGCCGGCCGTTGCTGTATGCTTCCGCGAATGCCCTCTGCGGAGCCCTGGAGTTGCAGGGGATGTTCTGCACACTTTGAAGTGTCCCCTTGGTGCCGCAGACGGGTTGACTTGATTCCTGCAGTGTTGAGCGGGAAATGTGGGCTTGGCAGGAATATGTCCCCACACACATGAGGGTCTGGGACCTCTGGGACACGGACCATCACCATGACTGTTAAGACCGGTGAACAGATCCCTTGGACACGCACAGGAGACCTCTTCAGCCACCGCCGCCATGGGCAAATGTACGGCCTGGCCATGCCGCTCGTTGAATTCTGAACTGCTTTCAAGTCGAAAGGCTCGGCTTCTGTAGGTGCAGGCACTTGGGGTCATCATATGTCGAGGTCAGGTTGAGATGCCAGAGTGGCTTTAGAGAGCCAGAGCTGCTTGAGCTGTCAGTGTTGGCTGACGTCCACCGAGGACCTTGGGGGGCTTCTGCAGCCTGTGTATTCGTCCATTGGCGGGATTGGCAGCTTCAGACAGCTACGTGAAAGTTGACTACGGCTTGCTCGTGCTGCAGGCGGGCGGAAACGATAAAGACTTCGGAGTGTGCCGGAGTGAGAAGAAGTGTGCAAAGACTTCAGCAATGGCCAGAAGTCACTCAGAATATGGAGCTTCATCAACTCAGATCTTCATACGCCTAAAATCACGCCCGAGCAACCTAATGAGACCTAATGTGTTACTCTACATAGTAGGATCCTCGTTTTAAAGACCCCCCATCTTTTCCTTCTCTCGGAGTCCCGGGCCCGAGAGGTCTTCTCAACTGCACTTCCACTTCGAGTTTTCTGGAATGCCTCCACTTTAAAGCCTTCCAAGGGTGAATACTCACCCGTCTCTCAGCGCGATCCACTGAGTGAGAAAGAAGCATGAAATGCAGCATGTGCCGAAAAAGCCGAAAGCTGGGCGGGATTTGACGCAGCTTCTAGCAAAGCATGGGTGCAGGACAGAACTCGCTCATACACCCTGTGCAGACTTGTTGCATCAGTTCGCTTATCCCTTCATCCGGACGTCACCAGCAGCCCATACGGTAGCTAATTACGCCCCGCACATGATTCTGTGAGTTTGTGATCGGTGGCAGGCAACAAGTGAAATCCGAAGCGCGTTTAGAGAAGAAGAGGAGGTGAGACTTCGATCGCAAATTGAAAAAATGAGTTTGCGATGGGGATTGCTAAACCCCCATCTGATCAAAATCCTTCT